CTGTTAACCCAGCTTTTGCGCTTTCTTCTTTCACCATAGAAGGCTCCTCAGCTCCTCCTCGCCTTCGGCCATCAAAGTGGTGTCATCTGCATATCTAAGGTTGTTAATGTTTCTTCCAGCAGTATTAGGAAAGTCTATTTTCCAGCACATTTGTTACCTCTTACAATAATGATAAGAACTCTCTAGGAATCTCTACATATACCACACAACTCTGTAGTCTACTTCATCTTGCAATCCCAAACAAGATTTAGCAATGATCTTGTAAAACAAAACAAATAGGAGCATGATCTCAGATTTGTCAGGGTTATATGTAGTTTAAGCAACGACAAATGGAACCTTAGTTATCAATTTATCCTGTTTGCTTTGGAAAGGACATTGCTACATAGAGTTGCTTTGGTAACTGAGCAGAAGTGAAAGGTTGGCTTTAGTGAGGAGAGCTTTAAATAGGACTGAATTGCCCACACACTTGCACGGATCTTGCCTGTATTTAAGAAACATCCTGTGAAAAGTAAAGGCTTCTCTGTGCTATCTGGAAGAGCTTTAAAATTCACATTATCATCCAAGTCAACCTTGGCCGCCAATGACAAAAATGTCCAGACATTTAATCTCTGCTAAGATGGCCTAATTCTTTATTATGCTGGTATTTAGCATTCCACATGCATTCATAGGCGCTAATCAGTTCTTTAATCAAACCAGTGCTCATAACCAGCTTTTCATCTCCACTGCCATCTATGATTATTACTCAGCAGAACATACCATAGCCAATGCTGGCTTGTGCTGATAGAAGTTATCATTCAACTGTCAAAGATTGGGCCTTTGACGCTATGCTTTCTATCACATTGTAGGGGTAAGTATACGTAACCAAAAATCAATGGGGCAAAGAGCATCACAGCATTATTATGTGCAGGATCGGAGTTACCAAATGGCCTAATTCATGAAAGAATCAAAAACATCTCAGCAGCCTTTGAGCCCAGGGACTCAACAAAGCTATTGTCATTGCTGTTATCTATGTAGTTTGCAAAATAGGCACAATCAAGTAAACTTAGCAAAATCAGTCAGTTTAGCTTGTTTTGCAAATTGCACTAGCCTGGCCTATTAATCTGTCCTATTTCCTGTTTATCTCTGGATTTCCTTGAACTTCAGAATGTTTCTTGTTGACCTCAAGTGGAACCAAAACATGAACTGGCAAGAATGGCTATTCCATTAAAATACCAGAAAGTTTGTTGTTGTTTTGGCTTTCCTTTCATCTGGCCTGTAACAGGAAAAAAAATTAAATGCTGTTCCTTTTCCTTTGTCCTTCAACTAGGATGGAATTGAAGTTTAAATTAACAAATTAGCTTGTCCTTTAAATGTCATATACCACTTATTAATTCCACATATATATAGTAAACGTTTCCCCTGCCATTAAATCTAGTCGTGTCCGACTCTGGGGGATGGTGCTCATCTCCATTTCTAAGCCGAAGAGCTGTTGTTGTCTGTAGACACCTCCAAGGTCATGTGGCCAGCATGACTGCATGGAGCCCTGTTACCTTCTCACCAAGGTGGTAGCTACTGGTCTACTCACATTTGCATGTTTTCAAACTGCTAGGTTGGCAGAAGCTGGGGCTAACAGCAGAATCTCACCCCACTCTCCGGATCTAAACCACCAATCTTTTGGTCAGCAAGTTCAGCTTCTCTGCTGTTTAACCCGCTGCGCCACCAGGGAGCCCTCAACACACACACACACATTTTTTAAAACATGGGAAGGGATCAGAAAAAGCAAATAAACATATATATTTTTAGCTCCAAGAAGCAACCATAGTCAGCTGTTTCAAGGTTGTGAAAAGGATGGAGTACAGGGTAGGAATCCAAATAATCATTGTACTAAAAACTTAGAACGTAGCTACTGAAATATTATTATGTACAGAACTGAGGGAAAGAGCACCTGCAACTCACTGCAGTGTGAGTTTATTCTTTGAGGTGCCACAGCACCATGTAATCTTTCTCTTCTCAGATGTTTGGGTCTGGGTGATTTGTGCAGGCTTTGGAAAAAAGGGGAAAACCCTAGCCAATGAATGTGAAACAATTGGTTTGTGAGTGTTGAACAAAAAGGCCCAGACATAGGCTTTATTCCAATCATATATTGTTCCCCTACACTCCAGAATCAATTGGTTCATAGCTTCATCCTATGCATCTTTCCTTCCAACCTGTTTTAAAGAAATTCATTTTGTTTTCAGTTGTGTATTTATTTATTTTATTTATTTTGAACATGTATATCCCATCTTTCTCAACTCCCGAAGGGGGATTCAGGGCGGCTTACAACTGGATTAGATGCCAACAAACAAACAATTGCAATACAGACAATTAACATTAAGTAAACCAACAAGATTATAAAAATACATGAAAATGTTGACCATTAAGTATTAAAACACAACCGAATCCAAATCGTAATCCAGAGTTCTAGTCCAAGATCTATTCATTGACCACTCTCATAAGTCATTGTAGTTGCTGCTCAGTCAGCTGCCCGAATGTTTGGTCCTAAAGCCAAGATTTAAGCTTTCTTCAAAAGGAGAGGCGAGAGGGAGTCACCCTGATTTTACTGGGGCGTGCTCCTTTTTTCTCACAACTTTTTTGCGGTAGTTTGTTATGCAATCCAGGCCTGAGAGACATATTCTGAATTGATGTGTTCATCAATAAAGGGATGGGGATCCCCTCATGGAATCCTGGAAATGAAGGCAGCCAAAGTCAACCCGGATGGATGGTGAATTGTCATACCCCCAATGACAGGGGAACCACATAATGGTGTCCACACACATGAAATCCCATCTCCCTAATTCTGGTGGTCACTTGGGCAAGTGAATTGGATTTTGAAGTTCATTGATCAGCACGCAGGTTGGCTGATGTTAGGACCTGAGCCACGTTGGCACCAAGCCTCTGTGTAGCTGTAACCTATTTTTTTTCCAAACAAAAGAGTATTTGTGTAGGATGAGTGGTATTTGTCCCTGAACACTTACTGTGTCGATACTGGAAAGTTAAAATCTTACTGAAGGAAATGATTTGTATATAATGTACTGGGAAGATGTGCAGGCCATCAATCCATAGATGCCAGAAAGTGTCATGTGCAATTGATTCATGGAATGTTGAGGTAAAGGCCACCAGGCAAAAGGCCTCGGGGTCTCACCTGAAATGCTAGAGATGCTACACTGGAATATGATGCCTCAAAGCATGGTGGAGTCTCCTCTTGAGGTTTTCAAGCTGAGGCTTTGATTCTGTGTTCCAGCAGGTAAGCTGGACTAGATGGTCCCTGCAATCTCTTTCTGCTCTATGATTCTATGATTCCACACACTATTGGTCCCAATGGACTGGTACTTAAATCTGTTTGTGGCACTAATTTTTTTTTAAAAGTATGCAGGAAAGCTTTTCGAAGTTTACTGGCCATATAACAGACAGATTCACAATAGAAAGTGCCTTGGTATACTTCTGGTTAATCTGAAATTCCCTGGGGCAAAAATCTGATCCAACTTTTCTTTTTTGATGTTTAGTTGTATCATATGTATAGGAAGAGTTCTCTTTGTTACAGCCAACAAAGAGCCCATTCTTATTCCTCCAAAATCTCCCATGGCAGAACTAAAATTTACCCTGCAATATTGACTCCTTTAGTAATACAAACAGGGCAGAGATCTTTATCCATCTCTCAAAAATACTTCTGCTCCAGCCTTTGTTTTGAGGGGAGGAGAGAGAGCAGGAGAAGAGAGAAGGAAGACAGACAGAAAGAACCCAAAAAAAAAACTGTGATCAAGCATTTGTTTGACAGGAGACAGAAGAGAGGCAGAGGAACCAGGAAGAGGTGGACAGGTGGGAATGGACTTTATTTAGCATTAGCCATTGAATTGCCTTGGGCACTGGGCATTGGATCGTGCAGAAGAGACAGTATCAGTAGCACCTTGTTCATTCCCTTTTTTCAAAGGACAGAGCTGCTCAAGACACTCTGCCCAAGGTCCTTTAAGCTCTCCCCAATACTGAACTAAGGACCAATCATTGACTTATTTAAGCAAACTGAAGATGCATTGTTGTGCCCTTTCCATCAGGAGACAAAATACCTTAGACCAGCTGCACTCTTGCATAGAGTGAGCTCACAGCCTCAAGAAGCAGAAGATGGGATGTGAGAAGCAACATCTTAAATGTGGAAGACAGAGCCATTTGTGTGCCATTTGGCCTGCTCTGCATCCCTTGCATTAGCCTGCAAGAGGTTTAGAATAGATCCCCTAATCACATTTTTGAGCTACTGCTGAATAAGCCAAGTCCTCATAACATGTAATCTGTTGTCTCCTCTCAGCCTTTTGCCTCACTTGGAGAAACAACGCTAAGTCTACAATAAAACCACTGAGAATGAGAGGCAAAATTTCTATAGAATGAAAACCGCTGCCTTTGAGAAGCTGGAGTGATGAAATGGCTAGGTAGGTGGGCAAAAGTTGCCCTATCTGACTAAGGGAGCATCCACTGTAGAATTAATGTAGTTTGAAATCAGTTTAACTATCTTGGCTCTATGCTATGGAATCCTGAGAGTTGTAGTTTGGTGAGCCACTAACAGTTTTTGACAAAAGCATAAAGATCCAGAAAAACTACAACTCCCAGGATTCCATACTATCTAGCCATTGCAATTAAAGTGAAGATGGACTGCATTAAATTCTACAGTGTATATGCAATTCTTGTGGCAAAAACCTAGAGACTGTGGTTGTCATGGTGCCTTTTTTTATTTCTTGTATTTGTGACAATGAAAAGGCATGAAGTAACACTCCCTGTTGATTTCCTTGATGTTCCCCTTTTGGAACATTCAGGGTGGCTGCATTTAAAACTTTTGAGCATTAGCATCTTTATTTAAGTGGGACAGACCTTATCTTCTGATTCATAACTGATTTACCTGTCCATGAAGTGGAGTTCATTGCAAAAATGAGGCAGGGACAACCTGTTGTTGCTCTACAGCTCATAAATACCCACCCCTAAAATGCATAATCACTTACATCCAGTGACTGCTCCCTCTGAATAAGTTTCTTGCTCTCTTTCTCACAATAGTTAAGCATTGCCTCTCGGTTGTACTTGCCACTCGGTTGCTTGTCAGTGAGGTCTCTTTGCCGGAGTCCCACAGGAATTGTTCCATCTGAATCCGACGCATCCAGATCTTTTTCCAGCTCTTCAATCTCCTCTGGAGATAAAGTTGATAATAAGTTGTCAATATCTGGATCTTCACTGACTTGCTTTCTGAATCTTGCTACCATTGACATCTTTGCAATTTGCAGATCAATCACTTATGTTTTGATTTTTAAGTGGGAGAAACCCAAGGAGCAAATTACAGGGTTTCTCTAAAACCAATCCAAGGAAACCACAGTTCTTTTCCTTAGTTCAGAAGTGTTGAAATGTTACATGGAAGAAACTGTAACTTCCCTCCTGTCTGGAATATAATAGTGAGGCAGATGAAGAACAGCTGGCCAATCAAAGATCACAGCTGTGCTGCCTGGCTCAGATTGGCCAATCAGACCAGACTGGAGGCGAGGCTGGTGTCTATCAGAGGAGTTTGAAACTTGAGGACATTCCAGGGAATCTTAAAGTGCTGCATGACCAAATTTAGTCCTGAACATTTAGCTTTTTAAAGGCAATGGATGAAAGAAACATGCAAAAAAAGAAAAAAAGAAAAAAGGAAAATAAAAAAGGAAAGAAAGAAAGAAAAGAAAAGAAAAGAAAACCCACAGGAAAACTAAAACCAAAAATATCTGTTGGCTGGGAGTGAGAAGTCCAGGATTTAAAGTAAAAGCTTCTAGAATCCTATATTTCTAGTTATTCTAAACTATTCCTAATAATCTGCTGGGTTAACATCTCACCTAGAGGGTATTTCACGCTCAACATTCTACCAGTTATTTAATTATACAAATGTAGATACTTAAGACATACTTGCAGTTTTGACTTCCATTAAATGTTTATTTTTTAAAGTTGCATACATGTGGCTTCCAAAAATGTATCTATCTAAAATGTAGTCTGATGCACAAAACAAAAAACTGCGGGAAAGGACTGCCATTCATATGCTATGGTAAACAAACATAGTCCAACTAATCAAACACAAGTATGAAGGTTATAAACATTCAAGTTTGCATTCCCATATGGCAGAGCCATCAAACTCATTTTCATCAAGGGCTACATCAGCCTTATGGCTGCCTTCAAAGGGACATTGAATCGATGGATGGAGAATCCATGACTACAGAGGGACAATTATATATATTTAATATATTGGTCAGTACTCTTTGGGGTTATATGGGCTGTAGCTGTCCTCTTTTACCTGCTATTGCAGAGACAGAACTGAAATACTGCTTTGTAATGTTGTTGTCTTCCCTTTTCTCTGTTTTCCTTTCACAAATGCTCAGTAAAGCATTTCAGTGGTCAATGCTGTAAGTAGAAACCCAGGGATACATTTGCATCAGATAAAGCAGAATCCTTTCTTTCCCCGTTCAAGCTTTACTGCATTGTTGCAACACAGCCCCAAAGGACTGTGTTTATTCAGTCCTCCTCCGACTCCTCCGACTCTTTGTGACCTCGTGGACCAGTCTACACCAAAGCTCCCTGTCAGCTGAGGTAACACCAAGCTCCTTCAAGGTCATGCCAGTCACTTGAAGGATACCATCCATCTTGCCTTTCGTCAGCTCCTCTTCCTTTTTCCTTCCATTTTTCCCAGCATCATTATCATCCCCAAGCTTTCCGGTCTTCTCATTATGTGGCCAAAGTACTTCATCTTTGCCTCTAACATCCTTCCCTCCAGTGAGGAGTCGGGCATTATTTCCTGGAGTATGGACTGGTTTGATCTTGTGATCCAAGGCATTTTCAGAATTTTCCTCCAGCACTGTAGTACAAAAGTGTCTGTCTTCTTTCGCTCGGCCTTCCTTACGGTCCAGCTCATGCATCCATAGGTTACTATGGGGAATACCACTGCTTTAACTATGTGGATCTTCCTTGCCAGTGTGATGTCTCTATTCTTAATTATTTTATCGAGATTGGTCATTGCTCTCCTTCCAAGAAGTAAATGTCTTCTGATTTCCAGACTGCGGTCTGCGTCTGCAGTTATCTTTGCACCTAGAATTACAAAGTCTGTCATTGCCTCCATGTTTTCTCTCTCTGTTGTCAGCTATCAATAAGTCTGGTTCCCATAATCTTGGTTTTTTTAATGTTTAACTGCAACCCAGCTTTTGTACTTTCTTCTTTCACCTTGGTTGTAAGGCTCCTCGGCTTCTCCTCGTTTTCCTCGTTTTCATGAAGGCTAGGCAGACATAAAAACATTTTGTAAAAAACCAAGATATTTTCTTAAGAGACTTTGTTAACTTTGGGTGAATCTAAACCAGCATTTTTCAACCTGGGGGTTGGCATCCCTGGGGGTGGTCGCAAGGGGGTGTCAGAGGGGTTGGCAAACACTGTATTTTCTGTTAATCATGGAGGATCTGTGTGGGAAGTTTGGCCAAATTTTATTGTTGGTGGGGTTCAGAATGCTCTTTGATTGTAGATTAACTATAAATTGCAGCAACTACAACTCCCAAATGTCAAGGTCTATTTTCCCTAAATGCCATCAGTGTTCAAATTTGGGCATATTGAGTACTTGTGCCAAGTTTGGTCCAGATCCATCATTGTTTGAGTCCACAGTGTTCTCTGGATGTAGGTGAACTATTACTTATTTATAGCAATTTTATCCCACTCCTTTCAGCCCAAAGGCGACTCAGGGCGGCGTATTGCAACTCCAAAATTTAAGGTCAATGTCCACCAAACCCATTCAGTATTTTCTGTTGGTCATGGGAGTTCTGTATGCCAAGTTTGGTTCAATTCCATCATTGGTGGAGTTCAAATGCTCTTTGATTGTAGGTGAACTATAAATGACAGCAACTACAACTCCCAAATTAAAAACTCAATCCCCCCCCCCACGTATTCAAATTTGGACATATTGGGTATTTGTGCTATTTTTCCCCCCAGTGAATGAAAATACATCCTGCATATCAGATATTTACATTACGATTCATAACAGTAGCAAAATTACAGTTATGAAGTAGCAACGAAAATAATTTTGTCGAAAGCTTTCATGGGTGGAATCACTGGGTTGCTGTAGGTGTTTTGGGCTATATGGCCATGTTCTAGAAGCATTCTCTCATAGAATCAAAGATTTGGAAGAGACCTCGTGGGCCATCCAGTCCAACTCCCTGCCAATAAGCAGGAATATTGCATTCAAATCAACCCTGAACCTCTGAGGATGCTTCGCATAGATGCAGGTGAAACATCAGGAGATAATGCTTCTAGAACATGAAAATAATTGTGTTTTTTGGGGTCATCACATGAGGAACTGTATTAAGGGGTCACAGCATTAGGAAGAGCCCCCGGTGGCGCAGTGGGTTAAACCCCTGTGCCATCCGGACTGAAGACCGACAGGTCGCAGGTTCGAATCCAGGGAGAGGCGGATGAGCTCCCTCTATCAGCTTCCAGCTCCTCATGCAGGGACAAGAGAGAAGCCTCCCACAAATATGATAAAAACATCAAATCATCCAGGCGTTCCCTGGGCAACGTCCTTGCAGACGGCCAATTCTCTCACACCAGAAGCGACTTGCAGTTTCTCACGTCACTCCTGACACGACCAAAAAAAACAAAAACAAACCAAACCAATGGCATTAGGAAGCTTGAGAACAACTGATCTAATTTATAACATTAATACAGTGGGATGTTATAGGTTTTTTCGGGCTATATGGCCATGTTCTAGAGGCATTATCTCCTGACGTTTTGCCTGCATCTAAGGCAAGCATCCTCAGAGGTAGTGAGGTCTGTTGGAACTAGGAAAAAGGGTTTATATATCTGTGGAATGACCGAGTGGGACAAAGGACTCTAGTCTGCTGGAGCTAGGTGTGAATGTTTCAACTAACCCCCTTGATTAGCATTTGATGGCCTGGCAGTGCTTGGGGCAATCTTTTGTTGAGAGGTGATTAGCTGTCCCAGATTGTTTCATTATACAGTTTGACATTAGCACTTGTAACTGGGGGACTGCCTGTATAGGTTTTATATGTGCCCCACCTTGTGGCACCCTCTGTTACTGCACGGCATCACCTTGCCTGTCCTTTTCCATATACACCCCATGGCTACAACAGGGCTTCTTACAAAACTTTTCCACTCAGGACCCCTTTTTACCTGAGAGATATTTGTGCAACCCCAGGTATACAGGCATATAAAATAGATGTAAATATCAACCATTATTTTCTGATAATAAATGCACCTTATGATAGTCTCCAAACTTCATACAGCCTCTTACTCAGGCTTCACTATTGATGTAGGCCTAAAACAGGCATGGGCAAACTTGGGCCCTGCCTCCAGGTGTTTTGGACTTCAACTCCCACAATTCCTAACAGCCTACCGGCTGTTAGGAATTGTGGGAGCTGAAGTCCAAAACACCTGGAGGCAGGGCCCAAGTTTGCCCATGCCTGATCTAAAACCATGCTCCATTTCCAAACGAGCCTTGTCTTTATCATGCAACCACTTCGCCTCCAAAATTCTTGTTAGTTTCCATTTCTCCACAACTTCCTGAGAGACGCATCACTCTACCCCTTTCTTCTATCTATGTGCCATGGAGTTTTCTCCCTCGGGCCCGCCTCTTTCATTCCGGGCGGCCAATCGGAGTGGCACCGGGAGAGATTGACGTCACGGCCTGGGGATCACGTGACCCGCGTGCGCGTGCCGGCACGCTGAGTGGAAGCCGGGGAATCCAAGATGGAGGAGTACGCGCGAGAGCCCTGGTGAGATGCGGATCCGGCTTCTCTTTCGCCCCTTTCCTCTTTTTGGGTGGGGAAAAGAGACGGAGAGGGAGAGGGAGGCGAAGGGGAGCCGTGGGATGATGAGCCCTCTTTCCTCCTCCTTCCCTGGCCCACTCTCTCCTCTCAGTGTGAGGCCAGAAGTGACCTTGTGCCGGGCGAAAGAGGGTCAGGCACTCCTCCTCATGGGACACATGCTCTCCTCAGGCCTCCAGGGCCTTGGGCTTTCTCTGGGTAATGAATGGGCTGCCTGGTCGGTCTCTCTGAGTGTCTGTAGATTTAATTTAATTAGCACCACTTTCACTTCCATGACTCCATATTAGGGACTCCTGGGATTTATAGTTTGGTGAGGCAGCAGCTTTCTTTTGTAGAGAAGGCTGAAGGCCTTGTAAAACCATAAATCTCAGGATTCTATAGCATCGAGGAGCCTTCAACACTGTCCAAAATCCCGTGTTAGGTAATGGGTTTACCTGAGGCGTCTCAGCAGCTTTCTTTAGCAGAGAAGGCTAAAGGCCCTGTAAAACTACAAATCTCAGGATTCCATAGCATTGAGGACTCTTCAACACTGCCCAAAATCCCATGATAGGCTTTACCTGAGGCATCTCAGCAGCTTTCTTTGGCAGAGAAGGTTAAAGGCCCTGTAAAACTGCAAATCTCAGGATTCCATAGCATTGAGGACCCTTCAACACTGACCTAAATCCCATGATAGGTGATGGGTTTACCTGACGCGTCTCAGCAGCTTTCTTTGGCAGAGAAGACTGAGGGCCTTGTAAAACCACAAATCTCAGGATTCCATAGCATTGAGGACCCTTCAACACTGCCCAAAATCCCATGGTAGGTTGTTGTGGGTTGTTGTAGGTTTTTCGGGCTATATGACCATGTTCTAGAGGCATTCTCTCCTGACGTTTCGCCTGCATCTATGGCAAGCATCGTCACTACCTGTGAGGATGTTTGCCATAGATGCAGGCGAAACGTCAGGAGAGAATGCCTCTAGAACATGGTCATATAGCCCGAAAAACCTACAACAACCCAGATCCTTCAACATTGCCCAAAATCCCATGATAGGTGATGGGTTTACCTGAGGCGTCTCAGCAGCTTTCTTTGGCAGAAAAGGCTGAAGGCCTTGTAAAACCACAAATCCCTAGTTTCCAAAGTATTGAGGATACTTCAACACCCCCCTAAATCCCATGATAGGTGATGGGTTTACCTGAGGTGTCTCAGCAGCTTTTTTTGGCAGAGAAGGCTGAAGGCCTTGTAAAACAACAAATCTCAGGATTCCATAGCATTAAGGACCTTTCAACACTGCCTAAAATCCCGTGATAGGTAATGGGCTTACCAGAGGCCTCTCAGCACTTTACTTTGGCAGAGAAGGCTGAAGGCCTTGTAAAACCACAAATCTCTAGTTTCCATAGCATTGAGGATCCTTCAACACTGCCCAAAATCCCATGATAGGTGATGGGTTTACCTGAGGTGTCTCAGCATCTTTCTTTGGCAGAGAAGGCTAAAGGCCTTGTAAAGCCACAAATCTCTAGTTTCCAAAGTATTGAGGATGCTTCAACACTGCCCGAAATCCCATGATAGGTGATGGGCTTACATGAGGCGTCTCAGCAGCTTTCTTTGGCAGAGAAGGCTGAAGGCCTTGTAAAACCACAAATCTCAGGATTCAATAGCATTGAGGACCCTTCAACACTGCCCAAATTCCCGTGATAGGTGATGGGTTTACCTGAGGCGTCTCAGCAGCTTTCTTTGGCAGAGAAGGCTAAAGGCCTGCTCCTTTGATTGCATAGCATTGAGACATGTGGATCAGTTCTACATCCCTTATCTGGTAATAATCCAAATTTTCCACGGTTGTCTCAATGGAGACTGAGGCAGGGTGTTTCATTTACAAAATTATTTACAGTTTTGTGTATTGCCTCTATGCTATGTGTATAGTCTAAATCAGGCATGGGCAAACTTTGGCCTTCCAGGTGTTTAGGACTTCATCACCCACAATTCCTAACAGCTGGTAGGATGTTAGGAATTGTGGGAATTAAAGTCCAAAACACCTGGAAGGCCAAAGTTTGCCCATGCCTGGTCTAAACATAAATGAATGTCTTCTTTTTAGATTGTGTACCTCTTTAGAGATACCTCATTAAGCATTATGCATAACCAGCTATTCTGGAATCCAAGGGTGTATCTACACCAGGCATGGGCAAACTTCGACCCTCCAGATGTTTGGGACTTCAGCTTCCAAAAATTCAAGCCAGTTTACGAGCTATTAGGAATTGTTGAAGAATTAATGCCGTTTGACACCACTTTAACTGCCATGGCTCGATGCTGTCCAGGTGAATTTATTGGGTTTTCAGCCATCTATACATTCGTGTGCTGTTAATCAAATGTAATAAATAAATTGACTGAATTTCAATTAAAAATAAACTTCATAGATTCTTGGCATGCCTTAAGAATTTGAGTTCAACTATAGGAAAGAAAAGGGGTTGTGTTACTAAATACAATGTTATTGGTTTGTTTACTCTGATGTTACATTTTAAAGGCCAGATCAATTAAAGTGTGTCTTTATTCATTCATGTAGCCCATGGAGAATAGTGGATGACTGTGGAGGTGCCTTCACAATGGGAGCTATTGGTGGTGGCATCTTTCAAGCCATTAAAGGATTCAGAAACGCTCCAGTGGTAAGTTAAAATGAATACTTGGAAATAAGGAAGAAGAACTATCCAAATAAACAAAATGTTATGAACCATGATAAGGAAGGTTGGAAGTCAACAAAATCCCCTTTCCTTTCCTTCCCCCTACCGTATTTCATACCTTATATTCCCCCCAAAATGGTAGGGGTTTTTTTTTTTAACCACAAACCCTACCCATTTATCTCTCCCAATCCTGTTACCCTCATTTTATAATATTGTAGAAATTTTTAAATAAAAATGATTATTAAAAAAATAAGATTATATGTATGCAATATTATCAGTGATTCAAGGCAGAAAGATGGAAGAAAAAAAACTTCATACAGGTTCAAACTGCTGCTACGTATTGTATCACTAAAGGAGAGGAAAGCATTTTGGAGAGAAAATTGAAAAAATGTTAAGAAACCAATACCTTTTGCTCAAATATATGAACAATAAATATATGGGTAACACTTTTAATCCAATGAGCTCTGTTTCAAAGCAAGAAGGCATTGAAACAGATAACTAAGACACAGAGTGACAATCAAACTACAGGCAAAGAGATTCCATCTAAACATTGGGGAAAAACTTCCTGTTTGACAATAGAGTGTGGTGGTGTTTCCTTCTCTGGCGGTTTTTCAACAGAGGCCATCCATTGGTAATGCTTTGATTGTATTTTCCTGCATGCCATGGAGTTAGACTGGGTGGCCTTTGTGGTCTCATCCAACGTTGAATCACGATTCTACAAGAAAGTGAAAAGGAAGAACCTCATCTTATAGAGGTTTCAGATTAAACAAAGAGAACAATAAATCTAGTAACCCTTTGACAGGGTGGATTTTCTAGTCCATATTCATACAAGACAGGTCTTCCTTGCAATGTCACACATGCAAGGATGTGGAACATCTCTTGAGTAGGGTGTTATTATTTGCTGTCACATTGATCTTAATATATGGCGACCTACAAATGAGAGACCTCCAGTATCTATAGTTATCAGCTGCCCTGCTCAGCCTTTGCAGAACTAATGTTTGAAACACAGTACAGTATGTCAGTTTCAAGATTGTAGATTAGGTTGAATATGTCCTAAACAGGATATGTAACTAGATTAACCAATTGGCATTGCTCTTACTGTGTACTTTTATCTTTTGCAGGGTGTAAATTACCGGTTGAGGGGTAGTTTGACAGCCATTAAAACCAGAGCACCACAGTTGGGAGGTAATTGTGTTATTTCTATATTATCTTCTCCCACTCTTTTCTTCGTCTTGAGGTACAAAGAATACTACTTTGAAAGCAATTATCTGTTTACTCTTTCAAAAGATACCCACATTGTGTATATTTGGTAGTAGTGGAAGCAATGGGAGTGTGTGAGAAAGACATTCTTATCGGTGAAAAAGTAGGAGAGGCAATGTTCTTAAGAGAAAATTTGGAAAGTGTCTTGCTGGAGCTGACAACAGACTGAATATACAGAGACATTGGTTTTGATACTAGACATTGTAAATAGTCATCATGACTAATTGTGCCCACACTCTTTAATGTGTCATGTTCCCTTGTAAAGCTATCTTAAATTGTCAACCATCGTATGGTAACAACTTCTACAGTTGAACAATGTGTAGTGCATCTATCTTTAAGTTCCAATATGCATTTTCAGTAAATGTTTGTGGCTGTACAACTTAGATAAACAGAGGCATTATAGAGATACATAAAATTATGATATGGAGAAATTACAATTACATAGATAAATCTTTCTCTCTTGTAACCTAGGCCCTATTTGAGGAGTTACAATTTGTAACTTGCATGCTGATCTTAAAATGTCAGTGTCAATACAAACAGAAATTGGGAAAACAACATGAATAAGAATACGGCCTTAAAAAGAGAGATGGGGAAGAAGGCAATGACAGCAACCTGCCTCTATTAAGGACTTAACACGAAAGCAGTGACCAGAGGTGGGAGGCCCCTCTTGTTGTGGTGAGGCGTGGAAGTAGTGCTCCCACACCATTATCTCTCCCCAGCCCAAACCAGAGAAAGAAAGCCCTTGTCTTCTTCTTCACTTTCTTTTTTGGCCCAAGTGGTGTTCAACAGCGTTGAAGAGTCAAAAGAATGTGGCGTGCCTGCCATTTTGGTACTTGAGTTGGAACAGATTGGTGGTTCTGATATTTATTAGGGGATTACTATAGTTTTTTTCTGCCTTGTGAGGCTTTTGAGTATGTGCCTATTAAAAATTGCTGCTGTCACTCTGCTTCCCAGTCTCCCAAAATGGCAGGAAACACAGGGCATTTCCAGAATAGGCCTTTGGATACATTGGCCCAGGGTTTTTGGGTCCAATTTTTATTTGTCAGTGTTTTTCAACTTATACATATATATGGTACTGTTTATAGTTTGATCAACAGTTCTAAGTTCTAAAGAACCTTCTCCTTCAAACAGGTAGCTTTGCTGTCTGGGGTGGTCTCTTCTCTATGATTGACTGTAGTATGGTGAAAGCAAGAGGAAAAGAAGATCCTTGGAACTCCATCACCAGTGGAGCCCTCACTGGTGCCATATTAGCTGCCAGAAGTAAGGACGTGATTGAAAAATAAAACTTTATTAAAAAAAGAGCTTCCTTCAGAATCAATGCTCTATTCAAGTATGTCAAATCATTGAAATATTGGAAAATTCCCTGTCCTAAATGTCCTAGTATATATTTCTGGTTGTTCTTTGCTATTGTATTGAAAGTATTATGAAATCTGTGATATACAATGACTGCAGCACAAGGATGGGCAAACTTTGGCTCTCCAGGTGTTTTGGATGTCAACTCCCACAATTCCTAACAGCCTACCAGCTGTTAGGAATTGTGGGAGGTGAGGTCCAAAACATCTAGAGGGCTGAAGTTTGCCCATGCCTGCTACAGCAGGATTGCTGTAATGGGGACCTCCATCACCTTCAAATGATTGTTTTTTGGAGGGAAATGAAAAATATTTGTCGGTCAGGAGGAGTCTTATTGACAATCTATTTGATATTCTTAACAATTTGTTTAATGAAATTATATATAACCCGGCACACTTATATTTTCTAAGCTGTGCTTTTTTGGTTTACTTCTCTCAGATGGGCCAGTTGCCATGTTTGGGTCAGCCGCTATGGGAGGAATTCTTTTGGCTTTAATTGAAGGAGCAGGTATCCTATTAACAAGGTTTGCGTCTGCACAGTTTCCAAATGGTAAGGATTACAGTTCAGTGCACAATGCAAAACTTAGTAATGTATGCTTGAAACTGTTTGACTTGTCTTCATGTAAGTGAAGACCAATCTAAGCCTTTAAGAAGTTATTTTAAAAGTTTTATTGTAGGAACAAAGGTTGTGTGATGTAGAGAAGTCGTTGTTACAGATCTGTTGTGGAATCTGGGATTCCAGTAATGCGAGAAGCTGTTGTTTCAAAGACCAATGATTTCTTTCATGGAAGTGAGAAAGGCACACTGATAAAAACCTATGAAACTGAGAGCAAACTCGTCAGAACATGGTACTTGATTTTTTATTATTCATTTTCTAGCAAGCTGATTGTCAAAGCTTTCTCAAAAACAGTTTTCAGAATCTGATTTCTTTTCAAAGGGATGTCCATATTGCCATAGCCAGGAAGTATGCTGGACTGTGGTTACTGTAATCCTTTCACATTAGCTATATTAGCTAGGGTTGACAAGTTGCAGTTCAGTAACATCTATAGGGCCTTCCTCTGCCAATACCTGTAGAAATAATAATAACAGATGCAAGGTCTGTTGTGCCATTACAGCAAGGGTGCTTTTCAAAAACATATTCAATATATATCTCAAAGTATTGTCGAAGGCTTTCATGGCCGGAATCACTGGGTTGTTGTAGGTTTTTCAGGCTGTATGGCCATGTTCTAGAAGCATTCTCTCCTGACGTTTCACCTGCATCTATGACAGGTATCCTCAGAGGTTGTGAGGTCTTTGACCTCTGGCACAACCTCTGAGGATGCCTGTCATAGATGCAGGTGAAACGTCAGGAGACAATGCTTCTAGAACATGGCCATACTGCCCGGAAACCCTACAACAACCCAATATATCACAAAATTTGATATTTTACTGTGAAATATTTTCCTGCTTTATTTAGATTGTGAGTGTGTTGTTTGCAAACTTTCATACATCTGTCATGCTTAACGTGAGTGTAGACAAAAAAATGCAGTGTCTTCCCAGTTTTAATTTCTTAGATATCTGAGTTTATTTACCCAAACTGCTTGGAGCTTCAAAAGTCTAATTTTCCACCAAGAGTCTGCTTTCTTGTTTTCAATGAATTATACTGTTCATCATTTAAAAAAACTACCTTCAGTATTTCCTAGGATCTAAAGATTTGTAGATTGGTCCATGTTTTGAGTGTCCCTACCCCTCCCTTAGTAAACAAAAACCTGGGTAGTTCCAAACATATTTTTATTTTTAAAATTTATATGTCAAGGCAAAGAGGCCGGCCTAGCTCTAATTAGAGTGAATCCCCGGGAGAATTATCATTTATGCGTCCTCACCAGACATGCATATGATGGTGATGGGACCAACAGAAGGCCATCAAGATCTCAACATTCAGGCAACCTATACAGGAAGCAATAGTCTACACTGAGGGCTATATTGGAGGACCTATTCTCTGGTCCATAAGTAAAGGGTAATACATTGCGAGAGAACGTAGAAGAGAGTCTTCTCTGTAGTACCTACCATCTCAATGGCAGATTATCCTTCCTTTGTAGACCAATACTGAATTGAATGAATAAATAAATTTTTAAAAAAACTTTATTTTTAGACTGTCCTCTCTCCCTGAAGTGACTCAGGGCAGTTTACACACAGAAAAAGGCAAACATTCAATTCCCTAAATAAATACAAACACATCAAAAATCCAAAGTAAAGCACAGTAATAACAGTAAACTTATAATAAAAGAATTAGGCATCAAAATGAAAACAAAATAAAAATAATCCAGTAGGACATAATAACACTAATAACATGAATTAATATTGAGACATACACCCTGTGAGACAATTAAAATACATTAGAAATGGCTATCACAGGTGTTTACTTAAAATAGTATCATTTCACTACCAAATCAAAATATGAGGGGGTTTTTTTCCTAAAAAATCAAAATCTTTGGGTCTAATTGATGGTAATTCAATTTGTGCGTGTCTGTGGTTGATAATCGTTTAAAAATGGTTATTTCCTGGTTTGCAATGGATAAATGATTTACATAACATCAAAGTGACTTTATTGTAAGCCTCCAAGATTTTTGGATATAGGGCTTTGTATAAATATTTAATCTCCTGCGCCTAATACTTGGGATTGTGCTGGGGAATGGACTGGTAGCCAGTAAAGCTGTTGAAAGGGGACAGATATATATGCATTTTTAGTAGCCAGACAGTATGTTGGAAGCACTACCATATATTTAAGCAGTCCTGTTTCTGTTTATATTTAGTTGGTATTCCAGGGAATAAAGTCACATCCTTCTGTTGTTCTTTTCAAAAAATATGACTTATATTTCTGCCCATAGCCACATTCTCAAGCTCTTGCTAGAGAATCTTGCTAGGTTTCTGTCCAATTGCACTTGATAATGTTTCATGAGATTCTTAAATATTTCATGTAGTCCTGTCTAACTGTTCGTGATTAAAACTAATGGATTCCTTGTCAAAATTAAAACTATCAGAAAATGGATGTTTAGGAGTAGATGTCACCGAGTTTGCATTGGATTGGACTTAATTCAGATCTATTATTATTTAAAAAAACAAAACAGGAAGTCATTTGGGGACACGGCATTTTTAAAATAGTCTCCCTTAAAACATTGCAAAACATTGAACAAGTTACATGCCGATGTATTCATTGAGTTGTCAAGTTTGATTTTGGGAACATGACTTGGAATTTGGCATTAATTCTCAAACTATATGCCAGAATCCTCCAGTGTGTCTCAAGAGGACTGTTAGTGATCTGTGAGAAAAACCTAAAGGCTCATGGAAACATAAACTGTGAAGCATCCTTGTTGCTTTGGCTCCCAACACTTTAGTATCTCCTTCAGAATCTGTGTGCTGCTGGAAGTAGCACTGAGTTACTCCTCAATCTGTGGCTGGTGTTGAGTTCTCAAAACACATTTACAAAATAAGCTGTAAATAATTGAAGTGTTTACTCATAAAATGTATCTGTTGCGACATGCTGCATGCTTAACCTACTGTTATTTTTATTTACAGGACCTCAGTTTTCAGAAGAGCCCTCTCAGTTACAACCCTCTCCGTTTGGAGACTATAGGCAGTATCAATGATCGTTAGTCATTTTTCCCCTGTTCTGCATCATTGGACAAGCAAGTTGCAGCATCACTTGAAGACTTTTCTTTGCATCCATACACCTTGATGTCTCTATATTTTTCACAATATTTAAATTATGAATTGTCGCACTTCGTAATTGTAATGTGGATATGAGATGCCTGAAAAACTCCTTAGTTATGCCTTTTCTTAAGAGGACTGAGTAATGTGTTATTATGGAAAGACCTGAAACTGTGGCCTTTACAGTATAATTGCTGTTATCAATTTAAGGAACGGAATAACCATGCAGCATCAGAGCTTCCCGCCCCTACATCATATGACCGTGTACCGTTGAAGCCAGCTATGTTTGTTTTATATTACACGAGTGTAGAGGAGACTAGCAATGAGTTATGAGACTGAGTTATTAAAATAATTATAGTGCTCTAATTATGTTATGACTTGAAAGGTGATTCTATTGGCATAAGCTGCTGTGGAAGTCCCAACCAGTTATGAAGGCAGCTTTCGGTCCCTTTATTGAAGGATTTTAGTTGGCTTTATTCACAGAGTTGCACTTGGATAGAATGCTGCTTAGTTTAATATGTGACCATTTTGACTCCTTACAATTAGATCTGTTATGTAAATTCAGTAATAATGAAAGGAAATGTTGACAATCTGGTGGCGTAATTCACTCCTATAAAAATCTATTGCTTATAAACCTGACACATATGCAGAACAAACAAACTTCCCCATGGTGATCTTATGCTATGATTTCAGGGCCTCTATGTCTTTAATCTTCATCAGTCTGAAGAAGACTTTTTATCCCTGAATATGAATTGGTTTGATATTTATACTTGTTCAAATAGGGGTGGGCAACTATGGTGAATCCAGGAGTTGTTTCTTGCCTTGGGGACAGATTATGTGAATTGGGGGCAACAGAGCGGTTTAATATTCAAGCTGGTTCTTCAAAATCAGAAATTTTAGATCAGGGACCCTGCATTGTTTGTGCAGAAAAAGAGAATCTACAGCAGTTGAGAGTTGCACAAATGGCTTTGGTTAGGTACCACTTTGCCCAACTCTGATGTGAATGAAAAATATTACTTTGCAGATATTTAGCCCTATTATAATGGAGAATTGGAAGACCTGGATACACTAGCTAATCCACACGTTTGGTTATACCATGTTTAAATTTTTGATCATTTTACATTTGGATAAAACATATAGGTAGTGTTTGTTTACAACCTATGTGATTGAAATTTACTTGCCGGCTGTAGAGGCATTGGCAGTTTATTAGTTACCTGAACCAAAAAAGAATGATGATCATATTTACACACTTCCTGGTTCAACATGAAAATACTTGCAGATTTTAGTAAAGATAAAATTAAAATCCAGCCCTCTAGTGGCACCTGCTTCTAATTTTTCTATATTTAAGAGCAAGAGAGAAAACAACCAATTTCACAGGCTCCTGTCTAGTTTCTGTGTGGGAAGAATACTGTATTAAGGGAGGGAAATTGCTGTACTCTGATGTTGTACATCTCAGTAAGAGATCAAGTTTAGTTTTGCACAGAAAATTTATATGTCAACAGCACAATGGGATTCAGTTACCTGGGAAAGATCTGTTTTAGGATAAACTGTTAGTTATATGTAGCTTGCTTTTTATAAGTACACAGGCTGATGTTTGGCATTCTTTCTCATAAGGATGCATGCTCCATCACTAAATTACTCATCAAATTTTGCCACAACTGTTTCAATTAGAATGCATGGTAAGAATTCGTGTCCTTGTGGAAGTATGATGGTATATACATTGTTTTTGATAATAGAATAATGGAAAAAGCAGAGTAGCACATAGAGAAGTGTATGTGACTTGAGAGGCAAGCTGATGCATTAACCTCAGGAAACTTTAGAGGACAACATTCCCTGCAAAAAGAATATATATTTCTGCTCCCAAGTGTTCTCTTGGGGACATTTTTGGGGTTTCCCTTTGCCAGTTTAGGCCCAGGACAATACTTTAAAAACCAGAAGACCTCGCCTGGGCCAGATGTAGCTTGTGGGATCAAAATATTGTGAAATAAATTCCCCCTGGGGGCCTTTGGGAGCAAAAAAACATTTTGGAGTTTTTAATGGGTGGGCACTCTTTGTCCATTCTCAGTATAGGGCACTGTAATTAACACTTCTAATTTTGAGTGTTTCATGTTCGCGTTTAAGAAATATATTTATAGATCACACCAATCTGCTTCTTGGCAGGGGTTGGACCGGATGGGCCACGAGGTCTCTTCCAACTCTGATTCTACGTGGTGTTCAGACATTGAAACCAGCCCAGTTTATTAAAAGGTTAACATTATTCACCAATAGTAAAGGCATCATAAGAGATAAAAAGACATATATGTTTTAAAATATTTTCTAAACCAGCCAGAGATATTAGATTATCTTTAAGAAAAGGCAGTTATATTTATGTTTCAAAATATATTATTTTATACTTCTAGGAAAATTGTCTGAAGTCTTTATGAATGTGTAGATCTATTTTCAAACTTTCTTTTTTGATATGTTTACTGCATATCTTAATCTTCCCTAATTAAAAACTGGACAAAAGTTAATTGTTCTTAATGTCTCCTTTTCATTTTAAAAAAGAACCAACTATTGAGCAATCAGATGTCATTTGCTTGATTTATCTAATAGATGTATCATATTAATCCAGCTATAGTGTACTTTGTTGCATTTGCCAGATTTCTTTAAATGAATTTTCTGTCGATGCCACCTTAATACATATTTAATTCTACTAATGCTTATCTCTAATAGTAATCTAAAACCCTACCTCACCACTTAATTAAAGTAATGAATTTTGCATCATCATGTGTATATATTTACTCCAAATAACTACTAAGTTCAGTTTCCCTCTTAAATTGTTTTGAACCATAAAAATCCAGTTCCAAACAGGACAGTAACACAGCTGCGTATCTGAAAACTAATACAAGATGCTATTTATGATGGTGTCACTTCACAGTGAATCAAGGGTCTGAGTTACTCTCTTGGCTACTAAATTGAAAGTGAGGAGGAGAAGCAAAGGGAAATTAAGTCCTGATACCTAATCACTGTTCAACCAAATAAGATCAGATGCCTTTTCTTCAGACAAATCCTTGTGTTGGTTCAGACTGCATGGTAATAAGGCTTTCCCCTGGGAGCACTGAGGTGTAGATCAAATAGCAATCACATCACAGCTTCTCTTTAGGCTATGCACTTTGGAAAGCTAAAGAAGCACCTCAGAAATAATTCATTTCCAAGTCCCCCTTCCGTCCAGGTATATGCAGATCATTTCCCTTGGTGGCTGCATCAGTACAGAAGTATTTAATTTCCCTTCCCAGTGCTGCTAGTGGTGTGATCCTAGTTCCCTTCTTCAACTGCCCAACATATTTTTCCTTCCTCGAAGGGGGCTCATATTCCTTATGAATTATTAGCCTCTGCTGCCATGGGAGGGTCTGATGGTGCACTGCATCACAGGGGTTTATTTGGTCCTGTGGAGAAGCACTGAAACCTGGAGAGCTGGATGACAAGCTCAAACCTGTTTTGATAATTTTGGTAAGTAAGAATAAGTATCTGCTAGGAGTGGGTTATGTGAAGCCTCCGTATAGTTTAGATTTTTTTTTTCATTTCATATATCACACTTTGTAGCTTGCTTTAGAGTGCATTCCTATACGTATTAAAGCCCTATTACTTTTTAGTAGGCATTTGAAACCATTGTGCCTTGTCACAAGATCTCTGGAAAGCTAAAAAAAACAAGACTAAGAAATCTAAGATAAATTCAGAATGGATGTTGTTGGCACCATTAATTTAATAAGAAAAGGGATACAGTAAATACTTCCCAAAAGTGAAGAAAAGAAGACAGTGCTAATTCTTTAATCTAATGTATGTTCTTTGCAGGTTAAAAGAATATTGTTGACTATTTTTGTTTATGGGTAATGTTTGATTACTTTGGTCTGCGTGGTTACTTATGTTGACAGCAACTTTGAGGACATGTTTACAAGAGTAATGTATGTTTGGCTCAGCTCCATTCTATTATTTGGAAGCTGATTCTGAATATATTTGTGCAGCAAAACTGTAATCCATAGATACATGTATCGGTATGTGAATGCTACTAAACATATCAGGACTTCCTTCAGATAAATGACTTGTGACTGTATTTTACAATAAATACGATTTCCTCAGCCATTTTGTTTTATATAAATAAATCATCAATTAGTGGGGAGAGTGAACTGGATCTAAGTTAGGGGTGCTCATCCATTTTAGTGTTATAGTTTAAACATTTAAGAGATAGCAAGGCCATGCACAAAAGTCACTACAACTTCAGTCGCTACTAAGGATTGCATTTACCAAACCCAAACAGCATTACAATGTTTCATGTTTTAAACTGGTATTCACAAGCCTTGCATAACACTGTTTGGGATGCTATCTTTGTGTATCCCACCACAAAGAATACATCCACTAATGGGTCAGCAATTGTGTCAGCTTAGTATAATTCTGTAATAAGACTTCAGCTATAAATGCAAATACAGAATTTAAATCTTTATCACAGTGACAGGTAGAAACAAAGACTTGGGAGAGATGATACATCGTTGGATGGTGCTAATATTTGTTTGATTTATACTCTGTCCTTCATCATAAGAGTTCAAGCAAGCTAATAATCTTACAATAAAAATTTAGTTCAAATCACAACTTACCTAGATTTAAAATTACAAATTTACAAATCAAGCTGCCAACTGAGCACATGCTGTTATAGCAAGGCTCTGATTGTACTGGCATTTACAAGGGTTATCTGGAAAGTAAGGTTACAATGCACGTAACTCTCGTGGGGAATTTTGGCAGGGGAAGTTGGTATCGCTTCCATGTAGCGGGAAACCAGTGCAAGTGAACAAGTAGTGCCTGTTGTCAGTAGCTCATCAACTGACGTGGTAAAGGTTCAAATGAGTGTGTTCATTCTGTTTCCCTCCAAGTGTGAGGTTCTCACTGTAAAACACTACCTAAATGCTAAGGGCATGAACACTGCTGCGATTCATCGCGAAATCATTTCAGTTTATGGAGAGGACGTAATGTCATGACGGCATGTGACAAAATGGGTGCGGAATATATTGTGAGACCATGAAGAAACTTTGCAGAGCCATCCAAAACGAACATCATGGAATGGTGATGGCGGGAGTCTGTCTCCTTCTCGACAATGCGCGTCTGCACACTGCTCATGCAGCACAAGAGTTGTTGACTTCATTTGGTTGGGATGTTTTAAGCCAACCCTCACAGCCCCAATTTTGCACCCAGTGACTATTATCTGTTCACTAAATTGAAGGAACACCTTGGTGGAAAACACTTTTCTGATGACAAGGAAGTGAAAATAGAAGTGATGAACTGGCTGAAAAAGGCAGAGGGAAACTTCTATGACACAGGCATCAAAACCTCGTCCCATTAATGAGAAAATTTATTGAACTGAATGGTGATTATGTGGAAAAATAATGTCATACTTATGCTACAAACCATGTATATGTTATTAAAATATATTCATTCTTTGTATTTAAAAAATATTGTAATCTTACTTTCCATACTTTATACAAGTCTACTAACTACCAGTATAATGTAATAATTAAAAATCTTTAAATAATTGGAGGTGGCCAGCTCAACTCTCACTTCATGCTTATGCAATGCATTTATCTCCTGTTCTCAAACCTCCCTTTGCCCATTAGCAAAGTAGAAAAAATTGCTTTGCTAAAGTGGTTAACTTTTACTGAGAAATATAAATGGAGTACGTCACCAGGAACATCTAAATACTAAGGCTACAGTCTAAATGCAGGCTACCTGGGAATAATAGGTAGGTGAGTGAATCCAATAGATGTTGATCCATCATTTTGTTGACAGTTCCTGACCTCTCATCAAGATAACGTTGTTACAGAGCCTTGTATGAACCTTGAAAACCAACTGGAGCAGGCCCATAGCCAGGATTTTGATTCCGGGGGGGGGGGGGGGGGGGGGGGTTAGTTTGATTGGGGGGGGCAGTTTGATTCCAGGGGGTTCAGGATGTATCCTAGCAAACCTTTTGTATCATCATCCCAATACCCCCATGGATATGGATATATTGAGCATAGTGATCAGATCATGATATGAATAAACATAATAGTTTAAATAATGTACTAGTAAGGCCTTCTTGTGGACCACCCTGAGAATTGGGGGAGGGGGGCTCAAGCTCCCCCCCCCCCAACTATGGGCCTGAACCGGAGTTATTTAGTTCTGGGATTTTTTTGGTAGCATAAGCTTTTGTCTGGTAGACCTCTGTCTCCAGTCAATTTCAAAATATCACTTTATTTCCCAGTTCCAGAGCATAATTCACTTGGTTTGCACTATATATAACTAAATCTGAATTCCAACCCTACACTTTGTATGCCACCAGAAACCTCAAAAAGGAAGCTAAGTTTTGTTCCTACATCACTAGCACTGAGGCTGTGTTAATTTGATGACAATTATAAGAACGTTATCTTATAACTTTCATCAGCAGTTCCAAGGAAGAACAGAGCATGGATATTTAGTTGAGCTAGCAGTGGTTCTCAACCCGTGGCTCCCCAGGTGTTTTGGCCCACAACTCCCAGAATCCCAGCCAGTTTACTAGCTGTTAGGATTTCTGGGAGTTGAAAGCCAAAACATCTGGGGACCCACAGGTTGCACACCACTGAGCTATAGCAAGGAAAAGCAAAGCTTAAAATACATAGTTTCCTTTTGGCCTACATCTAGAAATCCCTAGCCAGAATTCAGGAAGTAATAGTCCAACAAGTAATTGTTCAAAGCACTCTGATTTTACTGTATCTCAACCAAACTTTTATGTTTCATTTGTCTCTGGATTATAGGTAATAATTTCCCCAAGATCTCATTGATATTTGTTTCCTTTTTCTTTAGAGGCTGTTGGTTGTTTCTACAGAAACCTGCTGAACAAAAGTTTGCATCAAGATGACAGTTCTATCTCTTATGAAATATTTGATGTTTGTGTTCAATGGACTAGTGTTTGTGAGTATTTGGTAGGCCTGAATATTTATACCTCTCAGAACTTGTCCAACTGCTGTGGGTAAAACTACCTGAGTTCATCTCAGACCCAAAGCTTTATCTGATTTACAATGGAGAAATCAATGATTTCCTACACATTTTTAAAATAGAAGATTTTGATCAAATTCACAGGCATAGCAGCCTTTCTGGATGGATGAAATCCAATAAATTGCTGTGGTGGGTGGTCAGGAGTCAGAGGGAAGAAACAACTATCACGTTTTTACAACATTCTTTTGATGAAAGTGAGCATCAAGAGCTACCTTGTCTTTTGGCAAAATACATTTGTCCTTCTTGGAAGAGAAGGCCTTTGGCTCAGAAACCTTTTGGAGTGTGAGACAGCAAGCGCTTAAACAGTAGTTTTAAGAGTTAGGATGAAGAGAGCAAAGTGTGGCTCTCCAAGTGTTGTTGGACTGCAACTTTCAGCATTCCTCACTAATGGTTATACTGGCTTGTGTTCATGAAAGCAAAAGCATGACCATATCTGGAGAGTCACAATTTGACCACTCCCAATTTAAGAGATTAACTAGACCAGTGGTTTTCAATCTGTGGGTCCAAAGGTGTTTTGCTCTACAACTCCCAGAAATCCCAACCAGTTTACCAGCTGATAGGGCTTCTGGGAGTTGAAGGCCAAAACATTTGGGGACCCACAGGCTGAGAACCACTGAACTAAACAGTTACCTTCATGTATGTGTCTTTTTTCAGGTCGCTGGCATCTCTCTCCTGTGCGTGGGCATTTGGGTGATTGCTGATCCTGAAGGAGTCCGGAATGTCATCTCTAGCTCATACCTCAGTGCAGGGGTTTTCCTTATCATCTTTGTAGGAGTGGCACTTTCATTCCTTGGTTTCTTGGGCTGTTATGGAGCCATCGCTCGAAACAGGAAAGTGTTGTTGCTTGTAAGTGAATTGCAGTTTCTTATGAATTATGGGTAAACATTGAGCTAAATGTGGACTAGGAAGGGATTATAATGGGTGAGACCAGCAACTGTGCTACACTGAGTGACACATTGAGTAGTGTGCTGGCAAGAAAAGCTTGTGGGACATCAACACCCTGTTTGCCATATTTTGGTTTCTTTCACACTATACAGATATAGCACTTTGAGGTCACTTTTACTGCGACACCAAGCTTACAAACCTCAGATTTTGATGCAACCAAGGTAGTTAGAGTGGTATCAGACTGTAATAATTGTGCAGTCTGGAAGGGTTATCAAAATCAGTTTCTGGAACAATGCATGACAGAACCAAAGGCTATTGGCAACTTTTGATAATTGCTGATTGGGTCAGCATTTGCAGGCAATTTTATACTCATTTCTAACACAGCAAGGAGGAACAGGTCTGATTCTCTTCTTCCTTGATCTTCTCACCCCACAGTTCTTTCTGCTGATACTGCTTGTGTTCACTGTGGAAATTGTAGCTGCTATACTCATTCACATCCATGGACAAAAGGTAACAATTAGGCTTGAACTGGAGGTGCAAGGTGGGGGTACAAGAAGTATCTGCTTTTCTGCTAGTATGTCAACAAAATAGTACAACTCTTAGGGCAGCCTTTTCTTCTGTATGCTAGAATTTAGCAGTTGCAATTAAGCTATTTAGAAAGAATCAGGCATCTGGGGGCAAACATTGGCTGATGGGTGGCATCCGGGTGGTATTCATGGAAGATAGCTGCAATTGTTATTTCCATGAATTAGGCCACTATATTTACTCACACTTTAAAAGTAATTTGATGTTCATAACTCATTATGTTATCTAGAACAGGGTTTCTTAAACCTTTCAACTCGTTAGCCCTTTTGGCCTGAGAAATTTTTACATGACCCCAGGTACATGGACATATATAATAGGCATAAAAATCAAACAATTACTGAAAATAAATCAGCATTTGCAAGGCTTGCTAAACAGGCTGATTTTTTTATGATGTATGGCTGAAGCATCTCCTGCAAAGTCCATTGTAAGCACCGCACAACATATTGTGTAATGCTATTTACAGAAATCTTTTACTGTTGCCAAATTATTTGTGACTCCAACATTGAGCTAAGACAGGCATGGGCAAACTTCAGCCCTCCAGGTGTTTTGGACTTCAACTGCCACAATTCCTAACAGCCAGTAAACTGGCTAGGATTTCTGGGTGTTGAAATCCAAAACACTTGGAGGGCTGAAGTTTGCCCATGCCTGAACTAAGAGGGGACCATTTGGGGTTGGAACTCACAGTTTAAGAAGCAGTGATCTAGAATGAAGAAGTTGCTCTAACTACAAGGAGATCTAGACTTTTATCTATCCATCTATCCATGCATTCATCCATTTATAAAACTTCAGTGTTGTGTCTGAAGTGCCTATACACTACAGTGCTTATTGTAGCTACCTTGCCTATAGTGGCTTACTCTCTCCTCAAAGTAGCCAAATCTGGGATAGCTGGCTACTCCAAAGAGCATGCCAGCCAGTTTCCTCTTGTGATAGGAAAACTACCAGTGGAAACCTATGAAAATTATATTAGTTGCCTCAAATTGAGTTTTTTCAGTGGGATACATTGAGCCCAACAGGCACTCTGTGTTAAAATATCTTGGCGGTGGCAACAACCACAAATACCTACACATCCTGAGGCAAGGTGTCAGTCTGTGTCATGTGAGAGTGGACCTTATTCTGGATTGAATAGCCTAGATTAGAATTAGAGGTGTATTGTCTTTTGCTCTTGGGGAAGTCTGACATAAGAATACAGCTTTAATTAAAATCAAGTTTGCTAGAGGGAAATATGGAAAAACGGTCTGCTGGGAACCCGATCCCTCCTTCGCACATATCTCCACTCCTACAAAGGCTAGAGATATTTTTTTAATGAAAGCTTGGAATGTGGGCCAGATGAAGGTCCAAACAGGCATAGGGTGGCATGCCTAGAATCCAGGTAAAACCAGGACTAACCTAGCAGCATGCAACTTACAATGCATTTTTTTTGCATTCACTGGCACAGCCTCCATATTTTTACAAATATGTTGAGGTGATTTTTTTTGCTTTTGTTCCAACTTGCACAAAACCAGCAATATCAGCAGCTTTGTTTTTCTCACATCCCACAATTTGCTAAACCAGCTAAAAGTAATCCGCAACCAAAAATGGAAGTGACATCATGTCACTTTTGAAAAACACAGTGGTGTGTCCAAAAAAGAAAATTGATCCCTGCGCCTTGGTGCACCTGCCCATCTCTCTTGTTGCTAGACACCACCGTGGTGAATATCGGCATTCAAAGCCAGTTTTGGCAGCCTTAGTCATGACCAGCACCATATCCATTTGAGTGTTGTGTTTCTTAGCAGGATAAAGTACTTCTGCACTCTTCTTTCTTCAGATACGAGATGATTTTTTGCTGACTCAGCTACAGCAGAATTACCAAGGAGATAACAGCTCTGATGTGTTCTCCAGAACTTGGAACACATTAATGATCATGGTATGGTTGGTAAAGGAATTGCTTTATTCAGATCTCTACTCAGCCAATACACTCGCAGCCAGCATGTAGTAGGAACAATAGTGACTTGGGAATGCATTATCATTGGTCCCAAAAGGGAAACTGAGAATAGATGTATGATTGATTCCATCCAGCATAGCACAGTTATTCTATCCATCTGGTATTATTGTTTCCAGACAAAGCAATCAGTCTGATAGGCACTTGGGCACAATAAACCATAACTGCGCATTTGTAAAGTGACTGAAATTCAGCAGAGACACATATATTGGGAGTCTACATATCAAGAGTTGTGATTTTATTTATTTATTAATAATTAAAGTAAGATTCCACGCATTCTGCAGTGGGTTACACACCATTATGGTTGCGTTTTAAACAAAATGGTTCCTTTTGAAGTGAGGAATAGAAAATGTCTGAAATCGGCACAAGATAGAACTTGTGGCATGGTTCTCCACCTCCATTATTTTGTGAGGCCACTTTTTTTTATTAAATTAGATTTATAATGTAACATTGGTAGTAATATATGCAGAGATGAACCCATTTTCTTCAACTTATGTCTTTTTCATGATGATTGTAGAGGCAGGAATTCACTACTTACCTCACACAATAATACCTACTCTCTCAAGACTCATTCTCCTCCTGTGAAATATTTAGTGACCAGAAGAGATTGGGGGATGTGGGATGAACCAGGCATTTGCCATGGTGTTGTGTCCCGACTGTTGTGGCTTATGTATATACACACAAACACACACACACACACACATTATACCACAATTATAAAATTACCAAAAATATCAAAATAACATTACAATTGAGATGGTGGTGGTGGTGGTGGTGATTAGCAGAGGAAAGTCCAGAACTGCAAGATAAGTTTGGAATCTTTTTAAGAGGGTGAAGGAATTGCCATATCTTGAGCTCACATCTGAATACCAGGACTGTGCAGTTGCCTTTGTGAAAATAAAAACCCAAGGGAAATGTATCAGCCTCAGAAATATTTGGATTTGCTCCCAATAAAAAAATGGACAGGACCCAAGGCTTTAAATCCATTTTGAGAAAGCTCGTTAAAAAGATACAGCCAAACCAAAATCTGGCATAGTTTTACCCTTCCTTAAATGCTACAACTTCACCAAAAATGGAAAAAAAAAAGTCAAACAGGAAAGCAGAGGAAAGATTATAGTCCTAAGGATTGATTGTTCAAGTGTACAATCAGGGAATTACTTTGCCGGGTGTCTCATTTCACTTGCAATTGACAGATTCTTGTCATAAATTTCCCATCCCCAAGAAATAAGACATTCTTTTATGTAGATGCTTGGTAATGAATTCATCAGAATAAAGAGAGTGGTGCCAGTGTTCTCAGATAATTCTAGAAATAAATGCATCCAGATACTTTAGACAGGCGTGAAAAAATGTAGTCCCTGGACTGCAACAGCCCCCCGGCAGTATGGAGAGATAACGAATGCCGGGAGTTGAAGTTTACAAATATCTAAAGGGCCAAATTTTGCTCTTTTGTAAAAGCAAAGATAATGGGAATATAGAAGCAGCAACATGCACACCAACATACACATAAGACCAACTAAAGTCCCTTGAACTGAATCACATTTGGAAGAGTAGCTTTTGATTGTCATGCTTTCATCCTCTTTTAGTTTGCATGTTGTGGCATTTCAGGACCTGATGATTTTCAGGAGTGCTCCTCTTTCCGGGAGAAGCAGCCGGATGACTTGTGGCCTCACGCCTGCTGCACTCATGCCAGCTTCAAAAAGAGGACTCAGCCTCTGGACTTGAACCACTGTAAACAACGAGATCCTATATTTATCAATAGCCAGGTAAGGATATTTGTTAAACTTACTCAGGCAATCCCTTGTTGTATGAGTATGATGGCCTTCCAAGCATAGGGTCTTGGCGGTGAGTCCATAGGTGACTGTGGAGCCCTGTTCTTGTCCCACATCTTCTTCCACAGTGAGGACATTGGTTTCCGGGTGGAAGGCGGTCCCAATCAGGGTTGGCTTGATGTGCTTTCCTCTTGGCACGTTCTCCCTTTCGCCCTCCATTCTTGCCTCTTTGAATTCCACAGCACTGCTGGTCACAACTTAACTGCTGTGCAAACCCTTTGAGTTTCTCACTGACTTGCTAGGATAGAGGTTAAGCAGACCATTTACTGATGTAATTTTATCTTATGTCAAGAGAACCTATCAAACTCCAGTCAATGTACATATATGCCAGGTTATATACGTATATATATTTGTTGACCAACCAAGGACTTAGTTGATAAAAGTCCCCAGCTCATGGAAGCTTAGATCACAGAAAATCTGTTAGTTTTAACGTGCCATAAGAGTGGTGTGTACATATGCATGCATGTGCATACTTCAGGTTATGTCTGTATTTTTCTCCTTTCAGATATCAACTCTCTATTGAAACTTCACTTATCAACAAAGCATCAAATCTCAGGATGCTTTCACCCACCACACTTTTGTCCAATTTGGGACCTCCCTTTCCCTAATAATAATAATAATAATAATAATAATAATAATAATAATAATTCTTACGCGTCTCTCATTGTAGCTTGAGGTGGGTTATGATATAGCTAAAACATGTAATTGTTATATAAATACATATATTAAAATGTATTTCTACAAAATGCATATATTAAAATACACAGAACAATTATTAAAACATAGTGGACACAAGACATGGGTTTAAAATTCATGATTAAAATTGGCTGGATTTTAGGATCTAATCTGGCCATGAAGAAGAACCTTCTTGAAGAACCAGATTGGAAAGGAGTCTTTCAGCTATTTTTTGGCAATGCTAATTCTGTCTAACATCTCGTAGGGAAAGATTTTTTCTTTGCCTAGATATTTCAATTTGGAAAATGTTTTTGAACACCTAAATGTTTTAATGCAGTAGTCTTGACACTGGCCTCATAAATAGCTGGCCAAGGAACTCTCATGCTATAATAGTGGGTTGTCAGATTATTCCCCAAGATTTCAAGGCCAAAACTAGAGACCAGGGAGTAGGTCCTTATTAGAAATGTCACATAAACAAGCATTGGGAATAGAACTGCTTCTGGGCCAGCTGATCATGGAAATTGGCTTGAGGGGGATCCAAGTAAGTGGGTATCAAATCTGATAAAACCTAGCTAAATGGTTAATATAAACTAAATAGAAGGCTTCTCTTGCCTTCTATTTAGGACCTGCATTATGCATAAATACATGACACATAATGGCTAAGACATCCATTAGGAATACTTGTCATCCCTTGAAAGCTTTAAGACCTAATTTGCTGGCATGTTGTTTGCAAAATATGTAGTGTAGTGTAGTATCTTCTAAAAATTAAGTCCTGAAAATATCTACTGCTGTAGGATGGTCCACTACAGTAAATACTTTGTAATCTTATTGACACTCTCAACTATCCTTGGAACAATTTTAATTAAGTTCCTTTTATTCCCTACAGGGTTGTTTCTCCACAATTGCCAGGATATTGAAGAAATATGTCTCCATCACTGAAGGCTGTTGTTTTGGAGTCATAGCCATTGAGGTAAAGCAATCTTGTGTTAATAAAAGAAGGGAACCTCATATTTCCTTGATGGAAGTACATAACTTTCTGTTATGAATGGTATACTATGACTAATACACGTTATGTCACTCTCCTTAAAGGACAGTACATACAGTAAATATATAAATTCATTATGGCTTTGGGAGCACTTTAGCACCAGATATCTACTTCTCCATGTGAACAGCATGGCTGTGTGACTTAGTTCAATAATGATGATGATGATGATGATGATGATAATAATAATAATGATAATAATAATAATAATAATAATAATAATTGATCTGCTAAGACTCTGGCACAAGCCAGTCAAGGTGGTCCCAGTGGTGATCGGCACACAGTGCCTAAAGACCTTGGCCTGCACTTAAACACAATTGGTGCTGACAAAATTACCATCTGCCAACTGCAAAAGGCCACTTTACTGGGATCTGCATGCATTATTCACCGATACATCACACAATCCTAGACATTTGGGAAGTGTCCGACGTGTGATTCAGTACAACAGCCAGCAGAGTGTCTGCTGTGGACTCATCTTGTTGTGTTTCAAATAATAATAATACAAATAATACTTTCTTTGTATTCCACACTATCTCCCTGAGGGAACTCAGGACAGATTCCAGCATACACAGACACAAAGGCAAACATTCAACGGCTAGAAACAGTGAAACATAGATAACACATAAACACAGATAAAGGTAAAGGCTCTGAGGGGTGGTGCTAATCTCCATTTCTAAGCTGAAGAGCCTGTGTTGTTTGTAGACACCTCCTAGGTCATGTGGCCGGCATGACTGCATGGAGCACTGTTTACTTTCCTGCTGAGGCAGTACCTATTGATCTATTCACATTTGCATGCTAGGTTGGCAGATGCTGGGGCTAACAGTGGGAGCTCACCCCAGCCCGTGGATTCAAACTGCCAACATTCCAGTCAGCAAGTTCAGTAGCTCAGTGGTTTAACCCATTACGCCACCATGGCCCCTAGGCAGCTGCAAAGAGCTATGTAAAAACAGCCCACAAGAACTATCTTAGCACTCCCCATAAATAACTAGCAGCTGGGTAGAACACTGAGAGTCAGCAGGGTAGGGATCCACACCCTGGCTGTCTATGGCTGAATCATGTTGGTGTCTTGTGCAGGCATTATACCGATCTGTGCCTTTTCAAGCTTGTTATGAATGAAGGCATCTAGTAACTTTGTTGCACAAGCTAACTACCTGCCTCCAGAATCCTCTATAATGCAGTTGCCAGCAGTGTTCCTGCGTATATATGAAGACAGCAATCTCCTAGAGGGTCCTTTAAGCGTCTGGGAGAGTGATACTTTATTTGCCCATCTGGCTGCAGGAACACAGCTGGATGGAGATACCAGGGAAGAAGAAAGATGGGTTACATTTGGAGGGAGTAGGGCAGGAAGGGAAGCTATGCTCAATGAAGGTCTATGCTCCACCAGGACTCCGTCAAGGTGCTTCGGAGAGGAAGGCAACACCTTTTCAGAACTGTTCTGCCTTCTTGCTCTTGATCTCCTTGATCCCCTCAACTGAATTAAAGTGGTAGACGGGAGGCCAAAGTGGCTTGTCTTGAAATGGGCACTGACGTGGAAGTTGCTTAAACCTTTCCCCTTATTTTATCGTTTTCTCCCCTCAGATGTTTGCCATGTTCTTTTCATGTTGCCTCTACCGCTACTTTGACTGAAAACACCTGCTTGGCTCTGAGGAAACAGATCATATGGCAAATGAATTACCTGTGGATACAGCATTGAATTGTTCAATCAAACCAGAAATATTAGCCTCCAAACCAAGGTTGGGCAGCTGCACCAGGGATGGTAGCCAGTTTTTACCGTTGTGTCCCCGCCACCCTAAAGTTGCACCAGTTTTCATTAAGCTTTATTTCTGTCACTTTTAGCTTTGATTTAGCTTTATTTTTAGCTGACTTTCAGTTTTCTCTAACTGGGGAATTAATAAAGCCAAACCATTACGTTTTAGTGTATTTTTTGCAGTGGTCCAGGCAATGTAGAAGTAATATGTCACTTCTAAAATATTTAAATGTGTTTAGGGCTTTGGGAATGTCTTCCAGCTCACAAAAAAGTGTCAGCTGACTGCATACAGGTAGCAGGCCACACTTAGACCAACCTTGTTGTTATTGTTGTTGTTGTTGTTGTTGTTATTGTTATTGCTTGCCTTCAGGTTGTTTCCAACTGACCCTAAAACAGTGGTTCTCAACCTTCCTAATGTTGCAACCCCTTAATACAGCTCCTCATGTTGTGGTAACTCCCAACCATAAAATTATTTTCATTGCTACTTCATAACTGTAATTTTGCTACTATTATGAATTGTAATGTGACTATCTGATATGCAGGATATGTTTTCATTCACTGGACCAAATTTGGCAAAAATACCCAATACGTCCAAATTTGAATAATGGAGGGGTTGGGGGGGTTGATTTTGTCATTTGGGAGTTGTAGTTAGTGGGCTTTATCGTTCACCTACAATCAAAGAACATTCTGAACTCCACCAACAATGGAATTGAACCAAACTTGGCACACAGAACTCTCATGGCCAAGAGAAAATACTGGAAGGGTTTGGTGGGCATTGACCGTCAGTTTTGGAGTTGTAGTTCACCTACATCCAGAGAGCACTGTGGACGCAAACAATGATGGATCTGAACCAAAATTAGCACAAATACTCAATATGCCCAAATGTAAACACTGGTGGAATTTGGGGGAAATAGACTCGACATTTGGGAGTTATAGTTGCTGGGATTTATAGTTCACTTACAATCAAAGAGCATTCTCAACCCCAGTAATGATCAAATTGGGCCAAACTTCCCTCACAGAATCCCCATGACCAACAGAAAATACTGTGTTTTGATAGTCTTTGGGGACCCCTCTGATACCCCTTATAACCCGTCCCAGGGGCCCAGCCCCCAGGTTGAGAAACACTGCCCTAAGACAATGCAATCATGGTATTTTCTTGGCAATATTTGTTCAGAGGGGGTTTGCCTTTACCTTCCTCTCTGGCTGATAAAGTGTGACATCCCCAAGATTACCAAGTGACTGTCCATGGGTGAGCAGAGATTTGAACTGTGCTTCTCAGTTTCAGGAGTCAAATGTTCCAACCTCTACACTACACCGGCTATCAACCCAACCCTGATGTAGACTAAAAACAATAAACAAGAATGGCACCAGATGTACCAGTTTGCTACTTTTTGGAGGTAGTGTTGATCAAGAGATGGGGGAGTCTGCAAAAAAGGCATTCCTATAAGTTACCTCCTCTTGCAAGAGTATTTGTGGTTTAAATGAGAATAACTGATTTGAACAAATCTATGTCAAAGTCATACAGCACTGGGAAAGATCACATCCCGTCCAAGTATTGCATTTAGTTTGACAAATTGCAGAAATGGGTTTCAGGTTTTGATGCCAAGAAACAGAATTGGCATTGATTCATTAGAGCCAACATGTCACTCTCAGACATTGACTTATGTGATGCCAGAGAATAATATATTTCATGTTAATACTCAGGCCAAAACCCTGCTGAGTGCATTCTGCTCACCATTGTATTATTCTCAGGGTTGCACAGCAACAGTTAAGAAAGGCTGACAAGACCTGCTGCCTTAATACCGCTTATTCCTGCAATGCCTTATTTCTTTCATAGCTGTTTTTCCTCCATGGAGCACCATCAAAATAATGGCCTCGGTGCATATGGCTACTATCCCCCTACCACATAATTATAATTTGGTATGATCAGATGAAACTAATAAAAGGTGCTGGATATAGATAACGGGCTACATAAGCCATGAGTCAGATTTGTTCCATTCGTTTCTATGGAAATTTAGTTCCACTAAATATAGATCTAGTCCATCAGATGCTGGGCACCCCTTTTCTTCATTAGATAGGACTTCTAATTTGGATGTTCAATAGATAGATCAGTGGTTCCTAACCTGTGGTCCATAGACCACCAGTGGTCCGCAAGAACTAAAATATGGTCTGTGGCCTCACTGTTACTACACCATTGCAACGAGAGAGACTGGTCTTGTGAAACCCTCTTATAGTGCCGAGACTTATTCAATATGATTTTCTGTGGGCCAGCAGATGGCAACAACTGGATGCCATATGTTCTGTATCAGAAACTAGAGCTGATGTGGTCTATTTTATTAGTTTATTACTAGCTTGGACAGGGATGCAGTGATGCTGTTTAGTTGCTTATTTATTTATTTATTTACTTACAGTATTTATATTCCACCCTTCTCATCCCACAGGGGACTCAGGGTGGATCCCAATGCACACATTCAATGCCACAGTCACACAATATATATATACACAGAGACACAGAGGCTATTTAACTTGCAGCTTCATGGGGGTATGCTTTTTAAATTCCAGTCACCGGAGGAGCTGTTGCTTCACCATCCACTTGTGACAGTGATGGAATACTTATCATTCTTTTGCACGCTGCTGGAGAGTTTTTTATGATGTTGTAAATTAGTTAAATTAGCTGCCCTGCATAAGCGGTACCTAAATTTCCTACTTGACAGATGCAACTGTCTTTCGGGCTGCAAAGGTTGACAGCAAGCTAGACAAATGGCCAGAAACTCACTCTGATCCAGGCTGACTTTGAACTTGTGACCTTTTGGTCAGTAGTGATTTTAATGCAGCTGACTCCCAACCAGCTGCGCCGCAACTTGGTCCTATTATACTATAGTTCTGTTAGGAACAGGTATTTGCCAAGGCAAAGAATTGGTTTAGGTATGTTTTAACAAGCCTTATGTTTGTTCTGATCATGGAACACATGCATGTGCTACTGATCTATTGCAACCTTTAAGCAAGCAATGGGAAGGCTTTCTTTGTTGTGGAACACTAACTGTGGCATGACCCTATTTGGGTATTCCCCCCTTACTTTTTGTTTTAATGGTGTTGAGTTGTTTAAAATTGTCAGCATTTTTAAAGCTCTTTTATTAACTTTACACAAGATTTCAAGATATAAAGGAGGATAAGACCTGCATTTTGCTCCCTTATTTAGCTTGCTGCTTCCAGAGACTATGAAGGACGTTGTTCCATATTAGCCTGGAAAAGAGAAGGTTGAAGTGAAACGATAGCCATGTTTAAATATTTGAAAGTATGTCATATTCAGTGGATCCAAGTGTCGGAAAACAGTAAGAACTGACAGTAAGAGCCGTTCAATAGTGGAATATGCTGCCACCTCAGAGTGTGGTGGGGACTCCTCTCTGGAGGTTTTTAAATAGAGGCTGGGTGGTCATCTGTCAAGAGTGCTTTGATTGTGTGCTCATGCATAGCATTTGATTGGACTGGATGGTTCTTCTGGTCTTTTCCAGCTGGATATTTCTATGATTCTATAAGTATTGAACAATTATTCATCTGCAGGAATAGTTGGCTGCTCTGAGTGGAAGTGAGATTTTGTGTGTGTGTGAATGTGTGTGTGACAATGCAATCTGGCCCTTTGTTGAATTCTTGTTAAGCCAACAGGAATGCAGCAGAGGGCTCTCACAGACCAAAAGCACCACTCCTTTAAAAGGAAAGAGGAATGAATGGAAATTACAAAAGAAATGCTGCCACAGTGACAATGAATAAATAATGGCCTGCATCCAGGGTCTGCTTTCCACTAATGGGAAGGTTCAGCTTATGGGAGGTCCCTCTGCCCCTTTTGAGAGGGATTTCCCCCTCCCGCTCCTCAGATGGCCCCATTTAGCAAGATGTATTGATCTTCCCTGTAGATTGCAAGGGGAAGCGCTGACATGGAATGGAGAGATGGATAAATCTGCTTCTGGCAGTCCATTTGCACACACCTCAAACTGGAACCAACCCAATTATGTATTAATGCTGCAGCTGTATTATCTCTGTAATCTCAGTTGACGCCTTGAGCAGGTGATGTGGAACCAATTTTAACTGTGGTCATCCAGGTTCACAACTCTGTAAACTGAATGAAACAAATATGCTTTCCAGGTTATACACAAATCTAAGTTTTTGAAGTAAGTCAGTCAGGGTGAGATACATGGATAGCACAAAATAAATTTCATGGCTGGAATCACTGGGTTGCTGTGAGCTTTCCGGGCTGTATGGCCATGTTCCTGAAGCAATCTCTTCTGATGTTTTGCCCACATCAGTGGCAGGCATAGATAGATTTCAATGGCTTCTCTGTGTACTCTGACATGGTGGTTGTTAGAGTGGTCCAGCATTTCTGTGTTCTCAAATAATATGCAGAGAAGCCATTGAAATCTAAAAGCATGTGGACAATTTCAAAAGAAAGGAGGAAACCATGAAAAAACGAACAAAATTGGGTTACTAGTATTAACAAACTCTAAAATCAGGGCAGTAAATAAAGAGCAACTCAAAAACAGGGGAATTCCGACAGGAAACAATCAGGGCCAGTTAACATCCCCAACAAAGGAGTCCCTCAGGCAGGAAGCAGCCAGGCTTTGAGGCTGCAAGGTCATTCAGTGCTAATCAAGGTGGTCATTTGCAACATCCACACTTGCCTCAAACAGACAAGAGTTCTTTCTTTCACCCTGGACATTCCACAGATACATAAACCTCACTTGCCTAGTTTCTAGACCTCACAACCTCTGAGGATGCCTGCCATAGATGTAGGTGAAAGGTCAGGAGAGAATGCTTCTGGAACATGGCCAGACAGTCCAGAAAACTCACAGAAACCAAAATGTCTGTTTATGCCTGAATCAAAGCATTTTATTACTTCAAATAGAGAAAAATTGAGAGAAAATATTTTTCTTAGGGTCGGATGGCCCTTGTGGTCTCTTCCAACTCTGTTCCCAGTTATATTATTATCAAATAGGAGCTTAATTCCTTCAAATCAACTCCTCAAAGGGATAACTAGTGCAACCCCAGGGGGCTCTCAAGTTCCTGGCCAACTCCTTGTCACTTCTCAGCTTGTGCCTCTAGTTCAAATGCCTTTTAGGATTACAACAGAAATGTTACAGACGCGCTCCTTGCAACAACTCTTTCATTTATTGTTAGGTGGAATCCCCTTCTCCAACATCCAATAGCCTCCTGAGATAACTTTTTCAGATTTTGTATGTTTACTGAACATCACACATCCGTATATCTCAGGCACGGGCAAACTTGGGCCCTCCAGGTGTTTTGGACTTCAACTCCCACCATTCCTAACAGCCTCAGGCCCTTTCCTTTTCCCCCTCAGCTGCTTAAGGAGGGCCAAAGTTTGTCCATGCTTGAGATATCCTATACTAATGCCAACTTCATTATCTCAAAAGCAGATACTTACATATTAAAAAGACACCAACTACAGAAATCAAAGAGGGGTTGGCGCAGGCTTGGAAAACTGTCTGGGTTTGCAGAGGTGTAATAATATACCCGAGCAGCCACTAAAGACTGAGGTTACAGAATATTGATGTGACATTTATGGATGTAGCAATGGAAAATAGGTGGAAGGATGAAAGAAAGCAGAGCATGATTGGAAAATGGAAAAAGGCATGGCTGGTAGACTGAATAGAAGTGCTATACAGTCCAAGTTTTTTGAAGATCATTCTGTTAACACCTATTAAAAATGGCACAAATGGAGAGGGTGAAAGAGAGAAACGTGCCAAGAGGAAGGTGCGTCAAGCCAACCCCGACCAAGACCGCCTTCCACCTGGAAACCAATGCCCTCACTGCGGAAGAAGATGCAGATCAAGAATAGGGCTCCACAGTCACCTATGGACCCACCAGAATACTGATCCTGGAAAACTATCCTACTCGGCCAACGAGGGATCGCCTAAGTAAAAGTATTAAAAATCATATACCATCCACTATAGGCTATTAATACACATCCTTCATAATAAAGGAGGTGGTTTAGTTCCTCTTAACCAGTGGTTCTCAACCTTCCTAATGCCACGATCCCTTAATACAGTTCCTCATGTTGTGGTGACCCCCAATCATAAAATTATTTTCATTGCTACTTCATAACTGTAATTTTGCTACTATTATGAATCATAATGTAAATATCTGATATGCAGGATGTATTTTCATTCACTGGACCAAATTTGGCACAAATACCATTACGGCCAAATATGAATACTGGTGGGGTTGGGGGGGGGGGGGGGTTGATTTTGTCATTTGGGTGTTGTAGTTGCTGGGATTTATAGTTCACCTACAATCAAAGAGCATTCTGAACTCCACCAATGATGGAATTGAACCAAACTTGACACAGAACTCCATGACCAACAGAACATACTGGAAGGGTTTGGTGGGCATTGACCTTGAGTTTTGGAGTTGTAGTACACCTACATCCAGAGAGCACTGTGGACTCAAACAATGATGGATCTGGACCAAACTTGGCACAAATAATCAATATGCCCAAATGTGAACACTGGTGGAGTTTGGGTAAAACAGACCTTGACATTTGGGAGTTGTAGTTGCTGGGTTTTATAGTTCACCTACAATCAAAGAGCATTCTGAACTGCACCAACGATAGAATTGGACCAAACTTCCCACACAGAGCCCACATGACCTATGTTTTTCTGATGGTCTTTGGCGACCCCTCTGTCAACCCCTTGTGACCCCACCAAGGGTCCTGACCCCCAGGTTGAGAAATGCTGCTTTTGACAGTTGCCTTGGCATGCAAGAACAAAAACAAAAACACAAAAGGGTGCACTTGGGTGGAAAGAACCCTTGAGGTTTAGGGAACAAAAATGTGAACTTTGGTGGAAGTTTGAATATTGGCTAAGCAGATGATTCAGGAATATACAGCTTAATAAAAATCAAAAGTGAGATCTAATTGTTCCTTCAGAAAGCAAAGCCTGATTAAAGAAAAAATCAGGCATGCATAACATTTGGCAGTAGCACATGTGCTTGAAAATCTAGAATAACGATTTGTTAATTCAAGGCATCTTCCTATTCAGACATGACTTTTGAATACATGTAAGAAATCTGCATTTATGGCAAATATGAATACTAACATTAATATGCAGAATTACTCAAATAGAAGTCTAGTTCCTGTACAGTAATTTCAGCTACAGTGCTTGTGAACCATAATTGATACAGTATATTAATATGCATGTGTAGGCCCCATTCTTGTGAATTCTATGGCTTCTTTATGGAACAACCAGGAAGGCAGAAGGAAGCTCATATTAGTTTGGAACCTTTTTGGAAGAACTTGAATGAAGAAGAGATTAGAAGAGTTCAATGGCGTGGATCAATCCACTGTTAAAGGGAATTATATGAGAAGAAAGTGAATACACCTGCTTTGCTGTTATCAGGGGTAAGAGCATCAACTTCTGCCCCAGTTGAGGGTCTTTAGTCCCACAATGATTTCCTCCAACCCAGATGCTTTGGATACTAACTTCATTCAATCAGCAATGCTTCCTACACACTTACAGGGTTGCCCATTTCCAGCTATGTTATTTGTGAGTCTAGAACTAAAAGCCCAGCATTTGTTCACTCTGATTGCATTCACCAGTATAAGTTATATCTGAAGTTATTATTTATTTTTATTAATTTAATGTGCCCTGCCTTTCTGCCAACAAGGCACTCACGGTTGATAACAATATTAAAAAATAGATTTATTTAATCAAAGTACAAACCATCAAAAACAAATAAATTAAAAGCACACACAGTAAAAGACGTGGCCATTGGCAAAGCACTTGGATGCCTTCAAGACCAGACCAGCTTGCCCATGAAAGGCCTGCCTGAATAAGAATGCCCTTGACTCCAATGGAGGAACAACAAAGAGGGAGCCAGCCTAGTGTTGCTTGGCAGTGTGCACCAGCCTCTGGGAACAGCCACCAAGAAGTCTCTCTCTCTCGGTTTTAGATTCAACAATAATAGCAGATGGACTGAGAAACTGCCTTCCCTGAAGAAATTAAGACGTGGATTGGCGCACATAGGAAAATGTGATCTTTCAAACAGTCCCAAATCATACAAGGCTTCATAGGTCACAACCAGAAATCTGAATTGTATCTAGAAAAGAAACACGTTGTTACAAAAGACTCGCAGGGCCTTGTTACTATCTTGTTCCAGAGTCTGACTGCAATATTCTGGACCAGTTGCTCCATTAAAATAGAATGCAACTAATGGTATACTACCATGCCCAAATCAAACCAAGGTATTATTGTCACCGTGGCCAGGTTTACTAGTATGGTTGCATTTGATGTACTAGTTTGAATAATGATAACACACTCCTGGATATCACTGAAACATAAGAATAATATAGGTACAGAAGCATACCCAAACTAGGAACCAGAGTCTTTAGGGGAGGTATAACACCCATTTGACACATTAGATTTTATTCCCTAATTTGCCATTGATCCATGGTCACTATAGATACCACTTTCAATTGGAAAACCCCAGCATGGATGTTGAAGTTTCTGAGAACAAGAAGTTGTGGAGGTTCCAGTAGCCTCTTCAGGACCACCCTAGTTAGCTCAAGAGGGAAAACTATTGGGGAACAGGATGGGAAGTATCCCAGGAGGATTCCATTTGGTATTAAAGATATAACACTCAAACCTGAGGACTGGGCAGGGAAATAGAGTGACTGTGGACTATTGGAACTATGCATCTCATATACCCCAGTCTGATCTCCTGGAGATTTATTACTCCAACTCATCCAATCAAACCTCCAGGAACCAGGTCGATATGCTTATTCTAGATCAGGACCTAGATGCCACTTTCTCCTATTCAATTACCTGGCATTCAGCAGTAGTACTTTCAGCCTTTGGTAATTCTCACCAAGACCATTCAGGACCTCTAACTGGTGAGACAGTCTGGGAACCAACACCACTCTGTTGTGTATTATACTGCTACTTCTCTCTCTCCTTCCATCCTTCCTTCCTTCCCTCCCCTCTCTCTGCCCTTCAGCACTATAATGGCCACTCTCTAATTCACTTCCCCTCCCTGTTCCCATTTGAAAGACTTGTGATGGTCAAAACAAACCTGCCAACTACAACATGTTCCTCTTTTCCTTGTTTACTTCAGAAGTTGTTTTCTCCAAAGCAAGGACCCTTTAAAATAATCTCTTTCAAGACAAAACCCATGCAATCTTTTTCCTTTTTGCCTTAAACCAAGAAATCTGATGCAAGTAGGTAACAATTACAGGAAGTGCCTAGCAGGAATGCAAGAAACCTGAACTCTCTGGTCCCAGAAGTCCATCTGGAGTAGCCACAGGAAAAAACAGTTGACCAGATGCCATATCCCACTCACAGTCTGTTTGGGCGGAGTAAGTGGTCTCTTCTTATTCTGGCAGATTTTAAAGAAAATTATTCTAATTATAAAGAATAATTAGTGTATGTGTTGGTCACATACTTGCTACAAATAAATATCAAAATCATCCAGCAGCATACTGAAGTGCAAGTAATTCATCTCACAACTTTAGTGAAGGCCTCTGTAGACTAGAGCATTTTATAAATCTGCTCCATGCAATTTTGGTGAAAACGTGTGTACTCAGCGTGTCTCCTATAATATTGTCTCTTGTAGAGCCATTAATCTGCATTTTAGATACAAACACCTGAGAGGTATAGGTAATCATTGATCTGGTTGATCACACTAGAGCTCGGGAAATGAGGAATCATATCCTTTCCTCCACCCGTGCCTCTATGGATCTTCCATGGTGGAGATTGCAAAGTTGTGTACCTTCCAGGGTAGTAGATCCGGAGGGCACAAAGCCAAGAGGAATCCCGACAGATGTTCCTGAGGCTACAAAGTGGACTAATTACTCCATTCCGATGTCCAGTTTGATTGCTATTTCTCTAGTTCCACATAACAAACCATACTGACAATGGAAAAGGAAGGTGAGTATAAAGTAGTTCAGCCTGGAACTAGAGAAACTTGTGCAACAGGGCCTCTCCGACAGGTGCAGTTGAAGATACTGCAGGTTGCCACAACTGTGAAGAATACTGTTGGGTTGACCTGATTTCTGGGAAAATATATAGGTCCAAAGCATCTAATTTGTAAATGATATCACACTCATTATGATCGAGAATACAGAACCTATTTTTTTATTCTGCCTATTGCAGTGGTTCCAAACCTTTGGTCCTCCAGGTGTTTTGGACTTCAGTTCCTATGATTCGTACCAGCTGGTAAGCTAGCTGGGATTTCTGGAGGACCAAAGGTTGAGAACCACTGGATTCGATTCTTACATCAATAAGGAGAACCTGCCCACCATCAGTGTTCCTGCCACTGCAAAAAAAAAAGTTGATAATTCAGCATGGAGTTCATTCAGGACCTAGGCTTTGTCCAGATGCTGATGCTGTGTATGATCAGCCATTCATTCTGACTCTCAGTCACCATAATGCGCATGCACTCAGGCACAGAGGCTGTGCTGTTCTCTAGGTTATCCCTGTCAAAATGTCCATTTTCAAAGCGCCCAATGGGGGTATACTTGACACAGTGTTGCTTGACCTTCTCAATGCCCAACTCCACAAGCCCTGCCCGGAGATAATCGTCTTGATGGTGCTCCAATCCTGTATGGATCTGGATGCGGAGAATGGGGGCTGCCTGCTTAAACACCAGTGTGAAGGAATTGCCAGCCGCGGGGGCCTTGCCCCAGAAATAGTCTGCCATGTTGCTGTAAGCCTTAAAGGGCAGATAACTCTCAAATGTCACAATATCTGTAACTATATCTGCTGGGGGATTGTCTGGGAATCTAGAAAGGTCCTCTTCAAAGTCTTCATCTTTCAACCTGTTTGCTGTGCCCTGGAAGGAAGAGTAGTGGCCAATGTGCTGGAAGAGGGATGGCTTGAAACGAATGACTTCCTTTTGGGTAAGGAGGAGGCGAAAGTGCACAAGAAGCCAGTCACAAGGCATCTCTTGGTAAAAGAGCATGAGGAACCGAGCCAGTTGGGGAAGATCACGGGAGTGGTAGAGTTTGCCAATGTAGCCAAGCTTGGAAAACTCCAGGGTTACCCAAGAGGCATCCTTGAGGGATGCCAGCCTCTTTTGGATGGCTGTGAAAAAGGACTTGGAGCAACGGACATCATCTTCAATCATGAGGAAGTAGGTAGAAAGGTTGGCTGCAAAGTTCATGAGGTAGGCATAATCCACATTCTGCTTTGATCTGAATTGCACACGGTCTTCAGCATCATTGAAGTTCCTCTTTAGGTCCTCCAGGGAAGGATAATATTCAGAAGGTGCATGAATAAGCAGCAAGTGGCCCAGTAGAAGATGTGGAGCAAATCTCTTGGCAATCTGCTTGACCATTTGTGCATTCCACTCCTGATCTGGATCAGCCAAGTGCACCACCACCACCATTTTCCTCAGCTCTTCCTGTGTTGATTGTTCAAAAACAGACTTTAAGGTTTCCATAAGATAGTTCTCTCGCTTTCGCTTGACAGAACACAGCCCCACTGTCAGAAACTCTGAAATAGAAAGCAAAAAGGTATACAACTTCATAAATACAAGGATAAGAGAGGAATGCTTATAGTTTTTCAATGCCAATAACAATTCTTTGAAGTTGCTGTTGAGCGAGTAGGCTTATTAACAAAAGACCCTCCTCATAAACATATAGCAGAATTAACTTATTAGCAGCAGCGTGACCCAGCACCAGTAGCCCAAAGTGATAAAAAGAACAAAAACACACAGACCAATGTTATCTCTTTTCTTTATAGTAAAATAATATGGTTGCACTATTTACAAGAACAAGGTTTCCATGACACAAAGTTCAACCTTCACACTGGAGCATCACACATGAGGCCTACCTCACACTGAGGCCTTTCTCCCACAGTGAGGCCTACTACCACTGAGGTCTTTTCTCCCACTGAGATTTACCTCAGATTGACAGCTATTTAGCTATCAGTATCACATCAGTATCACATCTGCTTATATAGAACTGCAGCTTTTGCTGAGTCATTGCATCCATATGCACAACGGAGGACCTTCTTGCAGCAACACCAGAAGCACTCCAAGTGGCCAGTTACTGGTCAAAGGACATTTAATAGAATACCAAGTCTGCAAACTTTGTGTTTTGTTTGTTTATTTGTTTGTTTCTAATTGCAATACAACTGTTTTGGTTCGCTCCTGACACGTTAAAAAAAATAATTGCATCCATTTAACTCTTTCAGTGCTTGACTCATATTTTTATAATTAAAAATACCTAGTTAATTTTTAATATTTCTGACAGCTGCATGCTTTCTGAAGAATTCAGGGTCAGCAGACAATGGTGAAGGGCAGCAGACAAATCTAAATGCCTCTCCCTATGGTACATAAACAGTGTTAAGATGTGTCAATTATTCCAGATTTAAGTGATTTTAAAAATGAAGTTAGCAAAAAAAGATATTCCTTAATTGAGTTTTCACAGCATAATTTGTGGCCACGCTGGCTGGGGATGGATGACACAACTCCACACATCAGAGGAAGTTCATGATCTACTAGCAGAGCTCTGAGTGATTTGAAGTAGATCTGCAATTTTTTTAAAACTCACAATTGTTAAACAATAACAGTAGAAAGTGGAATCCAAGTTCCCCTAAATCTGAAGTAGGCATTCTCCAAAACCCAGAGAACTCCATCATAAATGTCTTCTGGAGCAATAAAGGGCCAAAGAACTACTGCAGCTGCCATTTTGTCCAACCAGAATGACATTATTCTCGCTCTATCCCTCTTTTTTTTAGTATGTGGAGGGCTCTTGATGTTTGTTAGAGATTCTCAAACAGCTTTCTAGAGTGGCTGATAGGCAACCAAATATTTTTAAATGTGATACAGGGCCATGGAGATCCAAAGAGTTGCATTCGCTAGACCACTTCATGCATCTTACAGATACTTTCCCACCTCAGCCCTTCATACACAGTAGTTGCATTGCTGTGTATGAATGAGCTTAGGAGAAGGTCTGTGTAACTATGTGCGAGAGAGTGGAAGAGGGAGAGGGGTGGATTTATTGCAGGAGAGCTGTGAATTTGGCCCATCAAACAAGATCGGATCTTGGGTCTTAATGAAACAGAAAGTAGATCTTTCAAGGCAGCTGAAGTCTGCCCAATGCTGATATAGAGGGGCCAGGGCTCTCAGTGTCTATGAGTCATTATCGCTAATTGAAATGTGTGCTGGGATGGGTGTGTTTACTCACAGAGTAAGAAAGAGCTACTGCCTGTCAGCTTCTCAGAATCATCTTGCTGGTTATTGAACTGAGATAATGGACCTTCTATCCCTCCCTCTTTTTCAATCCCAAGGGAGCTCTTCTTACGTTCCCACAGTTACTTCATGCATCTAATGTATGTATTTTCTTCCACAATGAAAGCTGCCGCAAGACTTTTTCTAGTTTTTGCCACAATTCAATAATTATTTTTGTCGGTCCTCTTTTGCCTTTGCTTTTTCTGTTCTGATCAGTTGTAGGAAATCCCGCAATGAATTCAGCTGCTTGGAAGATATCTTCAATATGATGCAAAATGAGAAGGATGAGCTAGAAATGCTTCATACTGCACACTGTAGCTACTGGCATGGTTTCAATGTAGCAAATCCACTAGAGGTTCTAGTCTGGACTTTAAAGGGGCTGGGTTGCTGTGACTATATGGTCATGCTCCAGAAGCATTCTCTCCTGACATTTCATCTACATCTATGGCATCAGGAGAGAATGCTTTTGGAACATGGCCATACAGCCTGGAAATGCAGCAATCCAGGGCCCTTCCACGCAGCCCTATATCCCAGAATATCAAGGCAGAAAATCCCACATTATCTCCTTTGAACTGGGATATATGGCAGTGTGGACTCAGATAACCCAGTTCAAGGGAGATATTGTGGGATTTTCTGCCTTGACATTCTGGGATATAGGGCTGTGTCGAAGGGCCCCCGGTGATTCTGGCCATGAAAGCCTTTGACAACACATTCAAAGGGGCGGCTTAAATACTTATCCTCAAACAGGTTTAATGCCATGAATAGTTTAAATTTCAGACTAAATCCCTGAGCATCTTTGCCAGTTCACTCACATGGAAGATCCAGCTAGCTATGGCAAGAGCAACACACTACCCTTCCTTCTAGGAGTAAAGAAGAGGAACCACAGTACTATATCATATATTGTATGAAGCTGATTCTTCCACTGGGTGGCAGTGTGGGTCAGAAATAGCCAAGAAAGCGCTGCTACTCCTCCATTGAAGGATTCTGGGAGTTGTAATCCAGAAAAGTAACTTTTCCAAGTTTTGTCTTTTATCCTATTTGTTTGTTGATGGTAATTGAAGAACTCACTTTTTTGGAGTGGAGGCATGCCAGCAAGATAGTGATAAGAAACATTCAGGAAACTGGTGGCATTGCTAAGCCTTTGAAGGCTGTGACGGTTCTGATCAGCATGAAGCTGGTGAAGGCCTATATCCTGAGCCCATCGCTGCACTTCCTTCTGTGAAAAAATAAAGGGTTTTAAAAGAAATAATTAGAAACTTACACCCCATGTCAGGGAGCATCTGTTAGCAAACATCTCTGATCAAACTGTTGGGAAGCTTGCATGCACACTGAAATGGTTCTCTTGTCTCCATGTTTCTATGTTACTATTGGGACTCAGCCTGTGATTGAACCTGACCCTATGCTTGAACCTGTGAATGTGTTTCAAGTTTCCTGATGTTTCTGTGTCTGATGTGGGTAATGAGGAGGGAAATCAGTCCCCTGTTGCTTCTGATGTGGGGGATGATGGGACTGAGGTGCAAGATGGAGACACTTTGGTCAATGAGTTTCATGCAGACACTGACAGAGAGTTTTTGGTGCAAAGGGCTGATGAGAATCTTTCTATCAGGCCTTGGTAGAAAGGTTTACTCCCTCCGTCTGTGAGCTCTCCAGATTCTAGTTTGGAAAACAGTCTGACACCTGCTAAAGTTAATGAGGAGTCAGATAAGCAGAGTCCGCGTCTGGAGATTAGCCAGAATCGACAAGAGGCCCAATGTTTATGTAGATCCAAAATAATTTGTCAATTAAAATCAAAGACTGGGGGAAAATGAAACTATTTTTTGGGATTTAAGGTTTGCCTGCAGAAAATCTTGACAGATCAGGCATCGTTTGGAAACCAAGTTCTTGTGCCATGAAAGTCTTGTTCAAGGGATCTTGTTTCTGTGGAGGTTTTTTTTAGCCTTTTGGATTGTCTTTGCATCTTGCTTGATTCCTGTGTGGATTACGGCTGTCTTGGATTGCCTGTATTTCTTGTGTGGACATTGCTTTGGGTTACTACTATTTATGAACTGATACTTTTTGGAACCTTCTGATTTTCTTACAAGCATTTATTTCTTCTGGCTATACTAAGCTTTAATAACAGAAGATTTGATTTTTTCACTCTTTGCGTGGTGTGTTTTAAGTCAGAGGGCTTCTTCTGGACCTGGAGTGCAACAGTTACCTCCCTTCCCTGCCAGTTTTATGATACCCCGAATTAACACTGCATGGGCTTTGGGGACCTTCTCGAAAGTGGACATGCTGAAAGACATGTAGGCACTTCTTTGAAGTCAAAAGGTTAAAAAAGGAGAGGTGCTTCCTTTGTCTGTTAGAGAGAATTGTTGTTCAGGTCTTCTTGGAAGAAGAATGACCGTCATCCCTTCCAACGATGTAGATTGCATGTGAATGGCCTGATCCTTTGTAAGGCCTATGCTCAAGCTAGAGAAATCTATCCTTTCACTATCCATCTATGGATTATATCTTTTTTGATGATCTACAATGAAATTAAGTTGTATCTATGTGATCCCTTTTGCACAAGTTTCGTGAGTAAAGCAATTGATGTGGAGTCTTTGTTTCCTGGTATACTGAATGTGTATTTCTTTGCATGCGAAAAGGGGGTGCTGTGATCAATCATTACGTAAGCTTTAACTCTGCCTGTCTGTTGTTTTTAAATTATGGTACCAAGCTATCCCATACCTTGGGCCATCCTTGTGTGTTTTTACTCTGCTAATGTTCTGCTTTAAGAGGTAGGTCAAACTCATTCAAATGGATTAGTTTATCCTCTGGTCAAAGGACCTGAGCCCTTCCACACCTGTTAGCATCAATATTTCTAATATAAATTTCTTTATGGTCCCAAGACTTGGGAGGAGTGGTTAGGATTGTGGAAATTCTATTCCCGAAAGTAACTTCCCCTCTCTAAATTATTAAACGCATGGAGGAGGAAAAAGTGGTGAAAATGACATCTGCTCTTGGCGTCAGGCACTTCCTTGACAACTTCCTTTTCAGGTAGATTCCCATTGTGCTTGGACTTGGATTCCTTTCAGTTCTTAATCTTTCACCACTCTTGCCACTCCCTCTGCTTGGAGCTGCTCTCTTAAACTTCTTTTGTCTATAACATGCCTCTAAAACCTTTCAGCCCCAACCAGGAATGTTATTTTTAATGGGAGGCTCTTATTTCAACAATGAAGAGATTGTATTTCTTGAAGGATTGAAAATATCTAACACAGAAGAAGCAGAAACTGAAGATAATCCAATGAAATTCACAGAAGGAACTGGACACTCATTTCAAGATGCTCCAAAAGGTGGCAAAGATATTTTTCATAATAGTAAAGAAGCCTGACACATTTCAGCCTGTATATCCTCTTATGACCTTCTTTGGGGACTATTCAGAAAAATAATTCAGAAACTGAAGAACTCTAAAATCATTTACTGGACAAGAGAAGAGATGCCTGTACTAACTCAAAATATATCTTCAGTATAGGTAAAGGTTGTCCCCTGACATTAAGTCCAGTCATGTCTGACTCTGGGGTGTGGTGCTCATCTCCATTTCTAAGCCGAAGAGCCAGCATTGTCCAGAGACACCTCCAAGGTCATGTGGCCAGCATGACCGCATGGAGCGCCGTTACCTTCCCGCCGGAGCGGTACCTATTGATCTACTCACATTTGCATGTTTTCGAACTGCTAGGTTGGCAGAAGCTAGGGCTGACAGCGGAAGCTCACGCCGCTCCCTGGAATTGAACCTGTGACCTTTTGGTCAACAAGCTCAGCAGCTCAGTGCTTTAACCTGTATGAGCATCTCACTATTAATATAGGAGCCCCCGGTGGCACAGTGGGTTAAACCCCTGTGCCGGCAGGACTGAAGACCGACAGGTCGCAGGTTCGAATCTGGGGAGAGGCGGATGAGCTCCCTCTATCAGCTCCAGCTCCTCATGCGGGGACATGAGAGAAGCCTCCCACAAGGATGATAAAACATCAAACATCCAGGCGTCCCCTGGGCAACGTCCTTGCAGACAGCCAATTCTCTCACAACAGAAGCGACTTGCAGTTTCTCAAGTCACTCCTGACACGAAAAAACAAAGCAAAACAAAAAACAAAAACCAACAGCAACTTTATTTATATTCCACTCTATCTCACCGAGGAGACTCAGTGTTGCACTTTAGCAGGAATTCACCTTGCTCACAACACTCACCAAGAAACCAAACATGGTAATAAACAGTTTATTACAGCCTGGAACCTCAGGTTGCAGTGGTGGCTAGGGGAGCTCTCACACAATTAAAACCTGTGCGCCAGATGCACTCGTACTTTGAGAAGTCAGATTTGGCCACGGTGGTCCACACACTCTCGTTACATCCAGGATAGACTACTGTGATGAACTACATGGGTTGCCTTTGAAGATTCAGAAGCTTCAAATAGTCCAACGAGAGGCAGCCAGATCAATAACTGGGGCGGCATACAAAGAGCGCACAACTTCCATGTTATGTCAGCTCCACTGGCTCTCTGTTGGCTACTGGGCACAATTCAAAGTCCTGGTTTGGGTTTATAAAGCCCTTAACGGCCCCAGCCCAGTTTACCTGTTTGAATGCACCATATAGTATTAATGCTATAGTGTAGAGCAGGCAAGGGCAAACTTGGATCCTCCAGGGGTTTTGGACTCCAACTCCCACCATTCCTAACAGCCTCGGCCCTCTCCTTTTCCCCCTCAGCCACTTAAGCGGCGGAGGGGGAAAGGGAAGGGGCCCGAGGCTGTTAGGAATAGTGGGAGTTGGAGTCCAAAACACTTGGAGGGCCCAAGTTTGCCCATGCCTGGTATATACAGTACTTTTAAGGTACAGGAGCAACAAAGAAGTGATGCACAGGCCTTCCACATATGTTTATACTCAGCAGGAAAAAAACACACAAACTTTGGCTTACCATTGCAGAATCCTCTTGGGGCCATGAATACAGATTTATGATGAGCAGGAACACCAGCAGGGAAATGCTTATTGTAAGTGACCGCCTCAGAAAGCACCGCATGGCAACTCTTAGGCAGGGAAAGACTCTTCCTTGCTGGAGGCGAGGGACTCCACAGGCGTCCAGACTCAATGTCAGCTGGGGAAGCTAACAAAAAAGAGCAGGTTATGAAAACATTGCTTTCATTGCTACTTCAAAACTAATTTTGCTACTGTTATGAATTGTAATGTAAATATCTGATATGCAGGATGTATTTTCATTCGCTGGACCAAATTTGGCACAAATACCCAATATGCCCAATTTGAATACTGGTGGGGTTATGAGGGGATTGATTTTGTTGTTTGGGAGTTGTAGTTGCTGAGATTTATAGTTCACCTACAATCAAAGAGCATTCTGAACTCCACCAACGATGGAATTGAAACAAACTTGGCTCACAGAACTCCCATGACCACAGAAAATACTGGAAGGGTTTGGTGGGCATTGATCTTGAGTTTGGAGTTGTAGTTCACCTACATCCAGAGAGCACTGTGAACTCAAACAATGATGGATCTGAACTAAACATGCCATTAATACTCAATATGCTCAAATGTGAACACTGGTGGAGTCTGGGGGAAATAGACCTTGACATTTAGGAGTTGTGGTTCACCTACAATCAAAGGGCATCCTGAACCCCACCAATGATAGAATTGGGCCAAACTTCCCACACAGAACCCCCATGACCAACAGAAGACACTATGTTTTCCGACAGCCTTTGGCGACCCATCTGACACCCCCTCGTGGCCTCCTAGGGGACCTGACCCACAGGTTGAGAAATGCTATCCTAGATTTTCTATCACATGCCTTTTGAATTTTCATTTTTGTGTCATCTAAATGCCATGCACTAAAATGAAGAAATATATATATATATATAGAAGAGATTTGCCTACAATACATACAGTGCCCAGTGTTAAATTTGCTCAGACTAATCTCTTTGTTAAATATTATAGCAGATATATTCAGAGGCAAAGGTAACCAAAAGAACACAGGAAACAGGGAGACTTGGCGGAGCTGGTTACAAAATAAAATCTTGGGTCATAAAAAGTTCACTCATTCAGTATACTGCACACCAATTTTGCATAATGTATTTCATTATGACTAATGAAACTTTAATCGCAGGATGGTCAGCAGGTGCATTTCATGGGTCTCATGAGACCCTGCCCATTCTCTGGTTCTTTCACACACACACACACACACAAATATAGATTTTTCAAAAAGGAGGATTAGTAATCCAAAATGGTTGGTCTCGTTTCAAGTAAGAAACTTAGTTTGCTTTAGTGAAAAACAGAATTTCAAAGTGTTGTTTTAGAAACTTGAATTAAATTCCTAGCTATTTCCAGTAATGTAAAAACATAGAAGTGTATGTGCCTCAGAAGCATGGAAGTAATGGCACTCAGAGCCACCAAAAGTTGTTTCTTTCTACTATTATTTATTTATTTATTTATTTGCAGTATTTATATTCCACCCTTCTCATCTCACAGGGGCCTCAGGGCAGATTACAATGTACATATACATGGCAAATATTCAATGCCATAGACACACAACATATATAAACAGACATACAGAGGCTATTTAACATTCTAGCTTTTTGATGAGGGTATTCTGGCCACCAGGGGCGCTGTCGCTTCACATACCATTTGTGACACTGTTGAAATACTTCCTCATTCTTTGCATGCTTGCTGGAGATTTTTATGGTGTTGTAAATTAGTTAAATTAACCTACCCGCATACACGGTACCTAAATTTCCTACTTGACAGATGCAACTGTCTTTCAGGCTGCAAAGGTCAACAGCAAGCTACACAATTTGGTCGGAAGCTCACTCTGACCCGGGCTGGCTTCGAACTCATGACCCTTTGGTCAGTAGTGATCTTAATGCAGCTGACTCCTAGCCAGCTGCGCCACAGTCTCTGTTTATTAGAAGTTACAGAATTTTAGAGCTGTGAGGGACCACTGAAGGTTATAAATCCAATATCCATTCAGCATCCCTAACAGATGGCTGCACAGACTGCATTTCAGGGACGAGGAACTATGGCAGCCATCAATGTAAATTTTTCAACCCAGTAGCTCTGCTCTGGGCTGCAGTGTTCCCAAAACTGATATAAATCTGACTAGGAACTAAGGTTAGACCTATATAATCCAGTTTTCGAATCCAAATTTATCTGCTTTGAACTGGATTATATAAATCAACACTGCCATATAATCCAGTTCAAAGAAGATAATTTGGATTCAGAAACAGGATTATATGGCAGTGTAGATGGTGCCTACATCAATTCTGGTTTTGGCACTGATATTTTTCAATTATTTTTTGGCAATGTGGGGAAAGAGCTGAAGGAATTTTGCAAGGAAAGTCTACTACTCCTGCACAGCTCTTAAATGTATTTCTCTCTTAGTAAAGGGCATTTTTTTGGCCAAAGTAAATGGAGGGTCTGGTTAAGCCCAGAGGAGCAAAACAGGCCCCTCGAGATCCCACAGTCTCTTGGCTGCACTCCCCACCCCTCCGTTTACCTAAATTGAAACCTGCTAAAACAGGCTTTGCTACTATTGTGACTACTGGAGTCCCATCTACACTGCCATATAATTCAGTTTAAAACTGTGTTATATGGTCCGTGTTGACCAGGCATGGGCAAACGTGGGCCCTCCAGGTGTTTTGGACTTCAACTCCCACGATTCCTAACAGCCTCAGGCCCTTTCCTTTTCCCCCTCAGCTGCTTAAGCGGGCCTGAGGCTGTTAAGAATCGTGGGAGTTGAATAAATATACTTAGATAAACTTATACAATTTATACATACTTATACAAACACATCTAAAAAGGGGGTTTGAAAGGAGAATCATAGAATAAAAGAGTTGGAAGAGACCATGTGGGCAATCTAGTCAACCCCCTGCCACGCAGGAAAAGCACAAAACACAAAGTATCACTGACAGATGGCTATCCATCCTCTGTTTCAAAGCCTCCAAGGAAGGACCTTCCACCACACTCCGAGGCAGAGAGTTCCACTGTTGAACAGCTTGTACAGTGAAGACGTTCTTCCTAATGTTCAGGTGGAATCTCCTTTCTTGTAATTTGAACCCATTGCTCCTAGTCTTAGTTTCCAGGGCAGCAGAAAACAAGTTTGCTCCCTCTTCTTTATGACACCATTTCACATATTTATACCTGGCTATCATGTCTCCTTCTCAACCTTCTAGTTTTGTTTACAGTGGGATTGGATAGAAAGTCGCAGGATGAAAAAGGTGAGAATGAAAATTACATTAAATGAAAGAATATACTTCTATTAATAACAATGGATATCCAGAAACCTGGAAAACAGATCTGGGTCCCTACAAAATAGATTTGAAAAACAAGCCTACCAACATGCTAGTGATCTTCCCTTAATCTTTTTTCTCTCTCACAATAGTAAACACTCCCAGTTCTTTCAGCTGTGCCTATGGCTGTCTTTCCTTCTCCGTGTCTCTGAGGTTTCATTAAGAATTAGTTGTATGGCATCAGCCCTATCTTTATAGGCTGAATTTTCTGCCCAGCAATGAACATCTTACCTGTGCAGAATATAATACAAATAGGAGTTATATTTTGGGTGTAAATTACAAGATTATCAGAGAAAGTCATTGAATAAAATATCTATGTCGGGGAAATGACAACCTGTACATATGGAAGATCAATTCATTTTTTATATTGCTACTGTATCTGGAGCTAACTCCATTTAAGTGCCTCATATTTGGATCTAGGATTTCTGCCTAATGGCATTATTCCCCATTAAGACTGCCAATTTTAATTCACCCAACAATGTAGAGCTGAAACCATTATCTGCATCCTCAATATGAATTATTTAACCACTCGAACCAGGATTGATATTGATTACTTAATGCTGCAGAGGACTGAAAGCTCTTGGTTTTATCCATAGGAAAAAAGAAGGCATTTATTTAGAATTTTTGAATCAGGAGACTCATAACCTTAGAAGGAAGCAATATCATGAATCAGGAGGAGGCTGACTGTCTTTCCGTTAATAGTGTCAAAGCTCCAAAGTAAAGCAATAAGTAAAAATCTTCCTACAATCCAAGGATGAGTTAAATGGAATATTAACTATGGATAAAATTCTGCATCTGTTAAGGCCTATTGTTAAATGTATGTTTAATTATGATGCCACACTTTTAGGAGTAATCAGCTCATGAACATTCAGATTGTCTTCAATGGTGGATCTAGATTACACTATTTTATTATTATTTATTTATTATGTTTATATTCTGCCCTTCTCACCCCAAAGAGGACTCAGAGCGGAGCACAACATACAAATAGCAAAAATTCAATGCTGGGACATGAATTCATTATATGCATACATAAACATTAAAAACATTTATCTCAACATTAAAATACACTGTTTAAAACCACTATGTCTCACAATTTTTGTTCCTGAGTTATAAATGTCATTTCCTAATTCTTTCTATCATAAAAACATGGGAAAAGACTATTAAACTACAAAAACTTTTGTTTTGTGGGACATCCTGCAGCACATTTTGCTATAGTTGCAAACGTGAGTAATCAATAGGTTTTTTTTTCAGTGGGGAAAGGCAAAAAGATGCTCCAAGCAGTCATGCCAGACACACAACCAGGAGGTGTCTACAGACGCAGGCTCCTCGGCTTTGAAATGGAGAAAGGACACCTCCCCAGAGACGGAAATGACTACCGCCTCCAGAGTCAGAAATGAAAGGAGAAGCTTTTGCCTTTGTCTCTGTGTTTGTGTCTCACTGTATGTCATCATAATAAGGCATTGAATGTTTGCCTGTGTCTGCTTATATACGGTAATCTGCTCTGAGTCCCCTTGGGGAGAAGGGCAGACTATAAATAAAGTGTTGTTGTTGTTGTTGTTGTTGTTATAGTTTTTCAATTAATGCCTCATCAAGTCTCAACCAATTTAACATAGTTTGTGGCAGCCACAATATAACAGAAACCACAGGAAATAGCACTTTCAAACCAGGAACTGAAATCTTTTCAAATTTGGTATTCTTTCGGTAAGTGTATTTAAGCAAAACTTTGTTATACCCTTCCACTATTTGAAAGGGAAAAAACCCACTACTGATTGAGAAATACTAATTATAACGGGAGAAGTTTGATAAGACATAT